AGTCTCCTGCCTCCGCCTCCCAAGTAGCTGGGACCACAGGTGCCCGCCACAACACCCGGCTATTATTTGGTTGCAGCCGTCATTGTTGTTTTGTTGGGCTCGGGCTGGGGATTCGAACCCGCCACCTTAGGTGTACGTGGCTGGTGCCTTAGCCGGTTGAGCTATAGGCGCCGAGCCGGCTATTTACTTTTCTCATCCCAATATGGTGTCTCTCATGTCTTCTTCCATCACAAAAGCAGAACACTTTTTTTTTTTTTTTTTTTTTGAGACAGAGTCTCTCTCTGTCACCCTGGTAGAGTGCCATGGCATCACAGATCACAGCAACCTCAAACTCCTGGGCTCAAGTGATTCTTATCCCTCAGCCTCCTGAGTAGCTGGGAGTATAGGCACCTGCCATAATACCTGGCTATTTTTAGAGATGGGGGTCCCACTGTTGCTCAGGCTGGTCTGAACCTGTGAGATCAAGCAATCCACCCGCCTTGGCCTCCCAGAGTGCTGGGATTATAGGCATGAGCCACCACACCTGGCCAGAACACTTTATTGAGACAGAATCTCACTCTGTTGCTAGGGCTAGGTTGCCTGAGCGTCATAGCCCACAGCAACCTTGGTCTCTTAGACTCAAGGAATCCTCCTGCCTTATCCTCCCGGAGTGTTAGGCTTATAGGCATGAGCCACCACACCTGGCTCCAAATCAGAAAACTTTTAAGAGGAGGGTCCCTGATGGGCTTGTGTCCCCAGAGGCACCCTTATAGCCCTACAGGAAGCCTGCCTGGGTCAAAATGCCCTGGATGTGAATTGGGGTTTCACTGGGATGGAGTGTGTATCTGTATCTCAGAAGGACAGGTGCAGTTGACCTCTGCTTCTAAGATCCAACTGAACCCAAGGGTGGTGCAGCCATTCAGACTGGTCCTGCTTCCCAGGTCAGACACTGTTGGAGGAAGGACTGAGCCCATCCTGAGTTCACATGGCCCCTGCAGGCCATGGCTCTTGGGTGGGCCACTGACCAGCCACCTTGCCTTACAGCCTGGACCATAGGTCTGCAGGGCTCTGCTTAGGCCCATGAACTTCAGCGGAGCTGACCACTGACCACTCACGGTGGGCAAGGGCCTGATGTTAGTGGCTCCCACCCTGGAAGGGCAGGTAAGGCCTGTACCTGGGCACTATCCCTGCTGTGAAAGGGGGGGATCTGTTGTACCTCTGGTGCCTTCTTCCCTGTTGGCTCACCCTAATTTTGTCCAATCCCCATTGCAGGCTCTGCTTCCACCAGTTTGCCCCTCCCCTTGTAGCACCTCCCCTTTGCAGGCCCCATCCCCTCCCACTTTGCCCCCACAGGCCCTGCCTTCCCTACTTTGTCCTTCCCTTTTCAGGGCCTGCTTTCCCTTTTGCCCCTCCCGCTTCCAGACCCTGCCCTCCTCCTTTGCCCTTCCCCTTGTAGACCTGGCCCTCTCTACCTTACCCCTTTCTCTCTCAAGCCCCCCTCCCAATTTGCCCCTGCCTTACAGGCCCTGCCCTCCCCACTTAACTCCTCCCCTTACAGGCCCCATCCTCCTCCCACTTTGCTCCTCCTCTTACAGGCCCTGCACTCCTGCTCCCCACATGGCACTGCAGCACCTCACCCTCCTGGCTGGCCTTCTGGTGGGAGTTGCCAGCAAGTCCACCGAAAGCATGGTAAGGGCTCCTGTCATGTGTCCAACTGTCCACTTCAGGAAGTTAATTTGGAGCCTCTGTTAAGGGCAGTGTACCTTGTAATTTTTAGGGAGTCACTGATGTCTCAGTCCTGGAGACGCTGACCTCATCGAAGGCAGCAAATGTACTGTTCTTTTCTACTCTCTAGAAATTTCTCTTTTTGCCAAATTGGACCTGTTGCCATGGCTGAACTAGTGTCTCTATAGACCTACCTCTGCTGGAACTGGCCAGAGCCCTGAGCCGCCTGCTGTGTCACCACCTGCTCAAGAGAGGGGCAGCGTGGGGCAGGGGCCCTTACGCAGGCATCCCAAATCCTGCTGGGAATGGCTTTGCCAGGCAGTGACACAACACTAGTGCACTGAGCTTTGGTGTCTGGCTTTGCAGGTTGGGGTGGACGGCAGGAGTGGAGGCACCTTGCTGGCTAGGGAGTTTCTTGTCAGAAACTAGGCCACATGGACTTGGGCCCCTCCCTGGTGGTGACACTTTCAGATCCCCTCAATAAACAGCTTTGCTGTTTAATACATTCAGGTCATGAGAAGCAAAAGCCCACCTCTGATAAACATGCTGAGGTTGCCCTGGACATTCCCCTCACCCAGGCCTATCTACCCTGCCCTGTGGCTGGGGCATGGCCCTTTGCACAAGCCATAAATGCCAGCACTGAGCAGATCAGGGCTGTACGTGGACATAGCAGGTGTGAGTTCGTCCCTCCCAGAATGTTGGCCCGGCTGGGGCACTTTCTCTATGGGGCCAATCTGGAAATCCCCGACCGAGGGCCTGCAACCTATGCTGTGGTGTTGGGGGCATGGGGCAGACACTGGGTGCCAGCCTCCCTGGCCCTCACCAGAGGCATCAGGGTGACCTGTGGGTTCATGTTTCCTCCCAGTCTAGAAAAATGAGTTTCATTTTCCCACAAAGGAATCTTTAAAATTGGCTTCAGCAGAGCTTAGCAGATAGGCCTTAAGGGGACAAGAAGGAAGAAACTCCACAGGAGTGCAGGCAGCTGGGAGTGCCAGGGCTGGGACACTTTCCCTGCCCATGGACGGGAAGAATGATTTTTTTTCACCATTGCTAGATTCACAGCTGAAGCATCTGTAACGAAACCAGATTAGCAATAAAAATCACTTCATGAGGAACTTGTGGGGAAGAAATAGGGAAGCCTGTGTCTTCAAAGCTAAGTCTGATGCAGAAAGGAGCAGCCTTCGAGGAGAGTGCTGGGATGCAGCAAGTCCCTTTGTCTTTAGAGATGAGGATAGCTCAGGGAAGGGCACCTCCCTGGTAGCTTCAGGGGAGAAGGACAAAAAGGCCAAAGGGCCCTTTCTGCTTCTGATTTTTCCTCAAGTGCCGAGGGCTCATATTTGACATAGTGTGACTTGAGCCCTGTCACCCATGACACTTCTGGCGTCTAAGTCAGAGTCTGGATGGACTTGGGAGGCACAGCTTAGACCAGCCCCGAGAGTCAAGTCTCTTTCCTGGCCTCTGGGAGTCTGGGGGCTGCTGTGGGTATGCTGGATAGGTCCAGTCACCGCTTGGTGGTCTGTTCAGGCCTCAGACTCATCGGTCACATGCCCTGTCCTTGAGGGCACCCAGGGCCCGCAGGGAAAAGAAGAGGCAGGAATGTGTGGGGTGCAGGCTGCAAGTAGGTGTGTCTAAGCTCCAGCTTCTTCCAGTATCTGTACCTTCCCTGGGCTTTGGCCAAGGTTTGCTTGTGGGGCTGACTACACAGGGCTCCAGCAGAGGTGTGTGGGTAGCCACAAGTCCCTGCCTCACTTGTGGGCCAGCAGGGTTTGGAGGGCCACCACTTCTGCCTCCAGAAAAGGCTGGACCCATGGTTGTCAGGACATGCTTGCAAGACACCTTTGCCCCTTGGGTGCGTATTATAGTCTCACATCCATCTTCCCTCCAGCCCCAGGAGCCTGAGTGCTGTGTGGATGTGGTGGATGTCAACGCTACCTGCCCAGGCACAAGTCTGTGTGCCCCAGGTAAGCCACTTTGTCACAAGTAGACCCCAGACTGGCCACTGAGCTGCCAGTGTGGCACATCCCTTCCACCTCAATGAGAAGGACACCTGCTCAGGTGTGAGCCTGGGCTGGAGGTGCCAGGGGCAGCATAAGGCCACCTGAGGAGGGGGCCCATGAAGGAACATTCTGCAGAGGTAATGGGCCAGGCCAGGGACTGGGGGCTATTCTCATAGGTGATAATCTAGTAAAGTCTGGAGGGAGACCGGGGAGGTCAGGGAAGCAGCCCCACAGCTTGATGCACAGGATGGCCCACCACAAAGGGCGCTAGGCCAGTATTGGCCTGTGAGGCAGAGACCCCACTCCCTGGAAAGTTCTGGAGATCAAGAGGATGGGGCTGGTGGCAGCTCACAGTCTGGCAAGATGCCAGGAACACTCCTCAGCTGGTGCCTTCGGCAGAAGTCTGGGGCTATGGTAGATATGGGTGGGCAGCTTAGACCATCCCTCCAATGGCAGCCTCGGTGTTCTCCTATTGTGGCTCAGTCCACCCCCACAGGGAGAGCGGTATAAGCCCAGGGGGCTGTCCCCCAGGACATGGGGTAGGTGCCATGGGAGAAGGGTACCCTGGGAGTGGTGGAGGGATGTAAGAAGGCAGTAATGGCTTGGGATGAGGATGGGAGAGGAGGCAGAATGTGGCTCCTAAGGCAGAATGGGGGTGCAGACAGGAAAGGCTGTTCCTTGGACCCTCTGACAAGTCCTATAGCTGGGCCATTGCCATATCCCTTGGACCCTTGGTAAGCCTGGGTCCCTCTCGGTGCCCAAGGAGTGGCTGGGCCTGAGAGCAAGCAGGAGCTTCTGAAGGTCTGCAGGCCTAGGCAGCTCTGGGCACAGCATACAGGGTCGGCATTATCTGGTCACTTGACATGGGAGTGGGGCTCTGGAAAGGACTGCTGTGTTAATGCTGAGTTTTGTGCCCATGGGCCCCATGTTGCTTGGGTCTTGGCCAGAGACATTGAGTAGACAGCATGTACCTCCTTCTGGAGTCCACCAGCCCACCCACAACACCCAGGGGAAGGAGGAGCTGGACCCCGCTGAAGGGAGGCCTGTTTTTGACATGGCGCTGTTTCCAGGCTGGCCACACAGAGCAGCCTGGCCAGCAGTTGGGCATGGGCTCTCCTATGAGAGGCAGCACCAGGGCTCCACTGCATGTGGTGTTGGTTGGTGGGCTGCCCACCTCTGCAGGGCTTTCCACGTCCCAAGTATTTAGACAGAATGTCAGCAACGTTCACCTTGACGGGCCCAGGGTATGTGGCTCACCCTCTCCCTGCTGCATCCCTGCTGCCTACGGCCACTCTGTGTTGATAGCAGCAGATATTTATAGAATATGCATCTGCTCAGCTCTGACCAAACATTAGGGATGTCAGAAAAAGTAAAGATGTGTGACTCAATTATTGCCCTGCCCACTCACAGGGCCTAGGCAGGCCCTTCCAGGATGTGTGTGGCTTGGCCCAGGGAATCCCCAGAGAGACCCCCGGGGTACAGGGGCAGCAGATGGGCCTCAGGTCAACTAGGGAATGCCCAGTGTGTGAGGCAGGGGCTCTGGGCCCTAGAGATTTGGTCCTGAGTGAGGGTGGGCAGTCAAGCCGTGGTGTGAGGAGGCTCTGGTCCAGAGCATGAGGCCCAGGCAGCACCTCTTTAGTTGGAATTTGTCTCAGCCCTGAGCCCTCTCCTGGGATGGCCAGTGTGGGACCAGGCCCTCCTACAGGTGAGCCTGTCCACTTCTGCAGTGCTCTAGGGTCTTTGAAGGGAGTTATTCCACAGTCTTAGAGGTTGAGTCTTAGAAGGCCGTGAACTGACACACATTTTGCTTTGGCTGAGACATTCCTGCCTCCCCTGCACAGGCTGCTACAGGCACTGGAACGCGGACGGGAGCACCAGCTGCCTCCAGTGCCAGAATGGAACCACTCTGGCCCACAATGGCTCTGAGTGCAGAAGCCGTACGTGCCCCCAAGGATCCCCAGCAGCTTGGGAGAAACCGTGGGGTTGAGGTCTTTGTCCCCACGGTAGTAGGGTTGGCCCCACTACACCCTGCAGGCCCTGTCCTCCTGTGAGCATCCTAGGAGCTCTCTCCTCTCAAGTCTCTGTGGATGGCTTGTGTTGAGGGCTGCTCTGCCCCAGTGGCCACCTTGCTTCCACATTTCTGGCCTGGGATCCCAGGTCATACTTGGGAGTCTGTGGTGGGGTCCATGAGGCCAGCCCCTCCCACAGTGCTTCTTCTGCAGTTGCTGGCCAGGGCGCGCCATTCCCCATGAACAGGAGCACAGGGACCCCTGGGTGGCCACATTTAGGTAAGTTTCAGCTCCCAGGCCAGGCTACCTCTGCCCAGATCCTGGGATTGGGGTGGTTCTTATAGCAATGGCCAGCACAGACCCTGAGACTTGCTGCCAGCCACAGCCAGGCCACATCCATGGCCATGCTCCCTCAGGCCCAGCCCAGAGCACTGTGTGGCAGAGCCCTGGTCAGGAAGCAGGGCCATAGGGAGTCCAGCTGGCATGGGCATGGTATCCCTGCATGTCCAAAGGGCCGTGGTTACAGAAGTGATTGTATCTACACCACACGCTTTCATGCTCACACTCGACACTGCTTGGGCTACCTCTGCCTCTCCATGCCACTGGCCCAAGTGCCTCAGTTGCAGGAAGGCCAGGTGGGCTCTCCAAAGTCCTTCTGCTAGTTAGGGGCTCTTCCAGGGTGCAGGGCTCTCAGGAGACTGTTTGCAAATGCGTGTGCCATGTAAAAAGGCTCACCACCCCGCCTGGGCCTGGGGATATCCACACCTCTGGGTGGATGTGTCCCTCCCTTGGACCCTACTTGAGATGCAGGTGTGGACAGGTAAGTGGGAGTGTGCTGGGCTGTGGGGTTTGGTGTCCAGGCAGAGGGCTGGGTGCAGTCAGCAGGGAGCCTATGCAGGGTGAGGTTTCCTCTGTGGCAGTGATAGGGTCATATCACCCTAGACCCTCATCCCTTAGCAAAGAATCTGCTGGACTTGGAGCCCTGCCCAGGGGCTCTGTGGAGGGCTGTGCCCATACCTCATCAGAAAAAGGACTTGTGCTGTAAGCTGGCCTCAGGTCCTGCAGGTCTTAGAGTAGAAGGAACATAGGTGGGCCCTGGGTGCCTGTGCACAGTCCCCAGTTTGGCAAACACTCCTGCATCTTGAGGCCAGAGGCACCTGTAAGCCCATCCAGTGGACTGTCACTGTCCAGTGCTCTTGGGCACCAGGAAGCCCCAAGCAGGAAAATCTGAGTGGCAGCAGGCCTCTGATGAGTGCCGAGGGCCCTGAATCAGTGCCGAGTCCCAGGAAGAGGCACCAGGGAGGTGTCTCCTACAAACCTGGCCTGGGCCAGCCCCTGTGCCATTCTCAGCGTCCCAGTGGCCTATTAGATCACCTGAAGCCAGGAGGGGCACATTTACCCAGGGTGTGGCAGCTCTAGTCAGGTATGCAGTCTTCCTTCCTTGGCAGGCTCCAGTCTCTCACCCAGGGTGTGGGGAGGAGCCAGGGGCCACCCACCCCCCAAGGCCACTCAGCTGCCTGCTTGCCTGCAGGGGGCCCTCATGTGGCAGCCTCACTCTTCCTGGGGACGTTCTTCATCAGTTCGGGCCTGATCCTCTCTGTGGCTGGGTTCTTCTACCTCAAGCGCTCTAGCAAGCTGCCCAGGGCCTTCTACCGGAGGAGCAAAGGTGATCAGTGTGTGCCCAGGCAGGGTGTGGGGCCTGAGTTGTCAGCAGGTGTAAGGCTGGCAGGGACCCAGTGGGCCTGTGGCTGGGGATGGCCAGGTCTAAAGCAGACTGGCAAGAGGGCCTTGGGGGAAGGGGGTGACAGCATGGGGCCCTGGCATCACTTACTGGACAAGCTTCCATGGGGATCTGGGTGGTTTCTGTGCTAATGGCATTGGTGCTGTTCTCAGCACCTGTGATTTCCAAGGAGGCCCCATTTTGGGGGTCCCAGCAGCCATTGTGAGGGGCTGGGAGGAGTAGGGACCAGGTGGCTCTCAGCTTCTGTGGCTGTTGCATCCCCTCCCCTCCCCTGAGGTCAAGGGTGGCCTGGCTGGTGTATAGGAGCGGCCTGGGTCTGAGGGCCTTTGCAGTCTGTGTTGCTGGGTGACTTCGCCTGGGGCAAACAGTTTTTGTCCTCTACTGCTGTGGCCCTTGGTAACGCCCTTTCCTCTCCCACAGCCCCAGCCCTACAGCCTAGTGAAGCTGTAAGTAATCGGGTCACCTGGGCTGGTCCTCAGGCTGTTACGCATGCAGGCCTTCTTCATGGTGCCTTTTTCTTCTTTTCAAGGCTGCGATGATCCCCCCACCTCAATCCTCAGGTAAACAACAGCTGTTACATGCCCTGCAGTTTCTTGTCTCTGGGCTGGTTTGTCCCCCCCCCACACAGACACCTGCCTCTGGAGTCTCAGCTACCCTCCTCATGTCTTCAGGGGACCATTCCACGGGGCAGGCAGGGCCAGGCTGGGCTTGGCAGTGTCCTCTGGGCCTTCCCTTTCATTCCTCAGATGTTGTATTTGTGGGAAGAGACTCTACCTGAGCCAGATCCTCTTTGTTTCTCCTATACTTTCTCCAGGTCCCAGGTGGACTGAGATGTGGGAGAGCAGCCAGGTCCCACTGTCCTGACAGCCCTCCCAAGTAGGGCTATGTGGGGTTGGGAAGGCCATGAGTTGGCCTCGTGAGGACCCACATTACAGAAGAGGCCAGGAGCACAGAGAGGGGCTCCCATAGCTACACAGTCATAGCCATGTGCAGGGCTCACTTGGCCTCCTTTCTGCTGTGCAGAGGTCTGGCATGTCCTCCTTTTTCAGGGACAAAGCTAGACCTACCCATTCCACAGAGCACTTGAGATTTCCTGGAGCACTCTTATTTTTGGCACTTTGAGTATCTTGTGACCCAAGTGTCCTGGTGCTGCCATAACAAAGCACCACAAACTGGGTTATGTGAACATAATACTTTTAATCTCTGACAGTTCTGGAGGCCAGGAGTTAGAGATTAAGGTGTGTGGGGTGGGGACATTCCCTTGAGGACCCTAAGCAAGGCCTCTTGTCCCAGCCCTGCTTCCTCCTCACATATCTCTCTTCTCTGTCATCCTCTTCAAAGGACACTGGTCATTGGATTTACTCAAGCAATCCAGGACTATCTCATCTGAGGTCCTAATTGAACCACATCTGTAGAGACACTTTGTCTAAATAGGGTCACATTCCCAGGGCTTAGGGCTCAGGGCTCAGGATATGGTCAAACCTTTGTAGGGTACCATCCAGCCTCCTGCAATGCACAATGCATGACTGACACCTCTGCCTTTTAGGGTAGCTCAGGTTACCTTGTCCAGGGCCAAGAGCTTAGCCCTGGGGTCTGAATGAGAGGAAACAGCTGAGTCAGGCTTGCTGGAGCATTTATAGGACACTACCTTTTCTCAGGCTAGAGGTCCATGGGGGCCCTAGGGACAGAGGAGTGTCCTCCCTGGCCAGAATACACATGCCCCAGGCCTGCTCACTGCCCCCCTGTCCAGGCGCCCTCTGACCCAGCCTGTCTCTGTTTCAGTGCGGAAACCACGCTATGTCAGGCGCGAGCGGCCCCTGGATAGGGCTGCAGACCCCACTGCCTTCTCGGTGGAGGCCCGCGTCAGTAATGTGTGACCCAGAGGCACCTGACTGCAACACCCTGCTCAGCAGACACTGCCGAGACCCTCAGTGGGGAGCCAGCACACAAGGGCCAGCACTGCCCAGGGCTGGATGGGCCTAGACACAGCCTTCCGCTCTGGGCCCGTCCAGACTGATGCTGTACGGAAACCTGGTCGCATGGAGGTCCCTGCTTCCTGCCCACAGCTGCTTGGTTTACAGGTTGGGGGCAGGTGTCTTATGGGACCTCAGGCTGGGAGTGAGGCCCCCACACCTCAGCCCAGATGCAGGCCTGATCCAAGTGGCCAAAACTTGCACAGCCTCAAGGCTGCCAGCTTGCCCAGGGCTAGTCTGTCCCTTTCAACCCTACCCAGGCCTGGTCGTCCCTGAGACCTCTGAGAGGAGGGGCCCGCATCTTCCAGCTAGTGGGGAGGACACAACCTGGGAACCAGCCACAAGGCAGAGATGCCTCTGGGCTATCCTTTTCATGGCCACAGGTGTGTCCCACCTATAGTATGATACCCTCTGGAGCTGCAGGATTGCCTTTCCTAGTCTCCCGCTGGCCTCTTTCTGCTTTTAAGGGGGAAAGTCCTCTAGGCTCTGCTGTCCAGTGATCCCTGTGCCTGGGTCAGTCCTTATCCCGCAGCTGGTCAAAGTTGGACACCTACAGAAACATGCCCACCTACAGGCCCTCCCTTCAAACCTCACAGGTCTCAGGCCTTGCTGGATCTGCGGAGGCCATAATGGCTGGGGGCCCAGGCCCTGGGGTTTCCGGCCGGCTGTCTGGCTACCAGGTGCCGTCCTACAAGATTCTGGGTGGCTGGTGGCTGAGCAAGGAACCTTTGTGGCACCTCCCACACTTGGCTCAGTGCTCTGCTGTGGGTCCCAGGTCCTTGCTCTATTGGCATCATCTTTTTTATCATCTGGTCCATCTGTGAGGGGGCCTAGCTGGGGCCCCATGTTCTTCTGCACAATGAGCAGTGGGTCGGGGGTACCCACATAAAGCCATGTACACTGGGTTCAGAGCTGCTTCAGGACCCTCTGTTCTGTTTAAGTGCAGGTGGGGGGAATAAATTCCCAGCAGGCCTGGGCCCCCACCATGTGTTGGGGATAGGGAGACAGGCAGAGTAGAGAAGAGCCCTTGGCAGGTCTGGGACACCCCATCTGCTCCCTGGTAAGTGGGCCTAAAAGCCATGAGCACAGGGTACCCCAACCCCTCACATCCTCTGCTACAGCCCATTCCCCAAAGCAGCTTCACCTTACTCTATGGGGCTGCCCCCAATCTGTCTCCTGACAGTGGGACAACCCCCTACTCATACCTCAGATGGGACAGAATATGGGTTATTTTGGGGGGCATTTCTATAAACTGACGAGGCCTGGTAGGGGATGCAGATAGGATGTCACAGGGCTTCCTGAGCAGCCCCTGGAGGAGCTGCAAATGGGTAGTTTGGTGAGAGCAGAGTCCTCTGCTTCCTGGCACCTCTGAGCCCCGCAGTTGCTTCCCAAGCTCAGGGATAGACAGCTTTTTTTTTTTTTTTTTTTAGTATAAACAAATTTAATGACCAAATGATAGCCTGGTCAAAAACGTGCATCACCAAGGGCTGATCCCTGTACTAGGAAAGAACTCTCGCAAGCACCTAAGACTTGACAAATAGTTCTTTTTTTTTTAAGAGACAGAGTCTCATTTTGTCGCCCTCAGCAGTGCTGTTGCACCACAGCTCACAGCAACCTCTAGCTCTTGGGCTTAGGTAATTCTCTTGCCTCAGCCTCCCAAGTAGATAGACAGCTTTTTGGAAGGGCTGGGGGCATGGAACTGCTAACCAGTGGTGGGACTGATGAGGAGGACAGCACAGGCCTGGCCTGGCCTCGCCTCTGATCATTGAGGGCCTGCATAGAGCCACCCTGCCCTCTGCTGGAAGGTCATGTCTTCAGATACCTGCACCCCTGCCCTTGCCATGGGAAGGCCATCCTGAGAGCTGCAGCTGTCAGGCACCTGGGGAATGTCCATTCTGCTCTGGGCCTGGCCCTAAGAAGTGTTGGGAGTGGCTTGGCGCCTGTGGCTCAAGTGGCTAAGGCGCCAGCCACATACACCTAAGGTGGTGGGTTTGAATCCAGCCCAGGGACCCGCCAAACAACAATGATGGCTGCAACCAAAAAATAGCCTGGCGTGGCAGGCGCCTGTGGTCCCAGCTACTTGGGAGGCGGAGGCAGGAGACTCGCTTGAGCCCAGGAGTTGGAGGTTGCTGTGAGCTGTGATGCCACAGCACTCCACCCAGAGGTTGACAGCTTGAGGCTCTGTCTCAAAAAAAAAAAAAAAAAAAAAGAAGTGTTGGGAGCAAGGCACCTCTAGGCAAGGCATAGGACAGGAATAACCACCAGGGAGCGCCTACCACCCTGGCCAGCCCATAGCCTTGCAGAGCTGCCAGGTTCCCTCAGGGCTTTAGCAGTCCACAGGGGTCTTGGTCTTGACAGGGCCTGGCAGTGCAGGGTGGGAGGCTGAGCCTTTGCAACTCCCAAAGGCTCTTGGCCACCTAGGTGGCCTGCCTTGTACCTGTGTGCCGCTGGGGCAGGTTACCCTGGCCAGGCTGAGCCTCCTCTTGGTATTGGGGCAGGGGGTCTTCAGTATGATTTCTGTCAAGACAGATTTTGGCAGCACCAGGGTAATAGCCAGTGAGGTCTCCAGAACCCACAGGGAGGGGCCTGGGGCTGCAGAGAACCCACTTTCCCACATCAGCTGAGTGGGCTGGGCCTGGACTTTGCCACCATGGGCACTGCTCATCCCCTGTGCAGGACAGGGTGACCACATAGCAACTTCACCATCCTTGAAGCCCATGGAGAAGAGTGAAGGATACCACAGTGGCTGTCAGTCTGGGCAGGGAAGCTGGGGCTCTAGAGGGCTGGGAGGGGCTTCTCTCCAGGCTGGAGGCAATACTGAGAGCCTAGCACCCACAGCTCTGCTGCTGGGCTGCCAGGGCCCTGCTGCACATCTGTGATGGGAAGTCCCTAGACTCATCCCTGCAGAGTTTGCCTGTGAGGAGGGAGGCAAGGGCTGAGGTGGGAGGGCAAGATGCCCTCGGCCTGGGTGGCGCCTGTGGATCAGTGGGTAGGGCGCTGGCCCCATATACTGAGGGTGGCGGGTTCAAGCCCAGCCCTGGCCAAATTGCAACAACAAAAAAATAGCTGGGCGTTGTGGTGGCGCCCATACTCCCAGCTACTTGGGAGGCTGAGGCAAGAGAATCGCCTAAGCCCAGGAGTTGGAGGTTGCTGTGAGCCGTGTGATACCACAGCACTCTACTGAGGGTGACAAAATGAGACTGTCTCTATAAGAAAAAAATAATGCCTTCAGTCTTCTGGAAACCTCCCCTCTGGGGCCTGCCAGGCCCATTCTTACTCTTAATTCTGAGTCCTCTCCACCTTACACCTAGTGGCCCTAAACTGAAAACCCAGGGGTCTTGGGTTTTCAACATGGCTGCTTCTGTATCCTTCCCTGCAGCTGGTCCCCACAGCTATCTCCATGGCCAGCCCCCTACTTGCTCATGACTTTTTTTTTTTGAGACAGTCTCAAGCTGTCACCCTGGGTAGAGCGCTGTGGTGTCATAGCTCACAAGAACCTCAAACTCTTGGGCTCAGTAGATCCTCTTGCTTTAGTTTTTCTATTATTTATTATTTTTTTGAGAGAGTTTCATCATGTTGCCCTAGGTAGAGCACTGTGGTGTCACAGTTCACAGCAACCTCCAACTCTTGGGCTTAAGCGATTCTCTTGCCTTAGCCTCCCAAACAGCTCAGACCACAGGTGCCTGCCACAACCCCCAGCCATTCCTTGGTTGCAGTTGTCATTGTTGTCCTGCAGGCTCAGGCTGGATTCAAACCTGCCAGCTCTGGTGCATGCTGCCAACACCCCAGCCATCGAGCCAGTTTTTCTGTTTTTAGTAGAGGTGGGGTCTTGCTTTTTGCTCAGGCTGGTCTCAAACAATCCACCTGCCTTGGCCTCCCAGAGTGCCAGAGTGAGCCACTGCGCCTGGCCTTGCTCACAGCTCTTACTGGGCAGCAGTAGTCTACAAAAGACCAGCAGTGCTGGGCCTGATGGTGGCATGGCCAGGGCATCAGGCTGGCTGTGGACAATGCTCTCTCTGCTGGGCATGGAGGATGGTACTGGCCAGCCCTCCCCTTACCTGGAGGGTGGCACCAAGGAACATTGGGGCAAAGGCTGGACCTGAGTACAGCCCACACCTCTACACACCTAGGCCCAGGCCCGGAGCCAACTGAGTCAGCAATGGATAGGCAGATAAGCCGAGTGGTCAGTAGGAGCTCCAGCCCAGGCCATGCAGCATAGAGGCTGGGCCTGAGGCAAGGAACCCAGCCTGGAGGGCCTTTGCCCACACTGGCTATACCCTGTCCCCTGGGCATGGGGCTTTGGAGTATAGGGGCTTTGAGCCAGGTTGGGGGATGGTCCTTAGAAGAGGTGAGCCCTCCTCCACTCACCTGGCCAAGGATGTCTATATCCAGTCTATGTCTGGGTGGGGGTCAGTGAGGGCCTTGTCCAGGGAGCCCATAGATATGGGGTCGAGGAGGAGACCCACAGGTACACACATCAGCACCCATGTTCCCTCATACATGTGTAGGTGGGGCTCAGCACATTGGTGCTTGCTTGCCTGCTATCATCTGGCCTGGACAGAGGGACCAGGTGGGCTGCCCACTGCCTGGATGTGTTGCTAAGTCCCTCCACTGCTCGCCTTTGAGCCTCCTGAGGTCTTATAGGTGTTGGCTGGAGTAAGGGGTAAGCCTGCCTCTGGCTGACCTGTGTGAGATCCAGACCCAAGACTGTACATTCCTCAGGCCTTCCATCACCCTTGCCTCTGGGCACTGACAGTTCACCAGGGAGCCCAGAGTGACCTCAGTGCTTGGATATTCCCAGGAGCCCTTGGGAGGATGTTCTCAGAGCAGTGGTGGGGACCCAGGCCACTTCCTGGAGGAACATGTGACCCAGAGTGATGATCTTGATGGAATCTGGGGCCCATCCTGCATGCCTAGGCTGGGGTTCACAGGGGCCCCCATAGAGCCCCCATTTGCCATTGAGTCCCCATACTCTCACAGAGTTCCCATACCTCCAAGGAGTACCCTGCATACACATGGAACCACAACCACACAGGGCCCATACATCAGCCTCTCATAAAGCCCCCACTCACCTGAATTCCCATCACCCAATCCCCTGGGCCCTGACCCCACCTCATAGTCTTGGCCTATTCCTGAACCCAGGGTACCCCCTTCCCCATGGCAGGGTCCTGGCCCTTGGGCTCCCCACACTGTAGCCCCCACAAGAGTCCAGGCCTTGGTACCAGGATGCCAGGGAACAATACTGAGGGTAGGGGCCCATGGGCCTGGGGCCGCAACTGAGATGGTGGTGGCTCCCTGAGGTCACTCTATGGGGTGGCTAGGCCCTCTGCCTCACCAGGATGGGGCTCTGCTCCCAGACATACCACTGTGACACCCCCATATCTTAGTCCTAGGCCCACACCCAACAGTGGGAACCCCTGGCCCCTGAGTTTGACCTGCTCTTGCATTGAGGTTCACTGTGCCTGACTGGACAGCAGAGATGTTTCAGAGAGGCATGGGGAGGGGCTGGGGCTATACCAGGCCCTCATGCACACGGTGGGCCACAGGGACAGTGGTGTCAATGACCTCTTTCTGGGGTTCAGGTAGGGTTCCTGCCAAGAGGCCCACTCAGGATCCCAGGGGCTCACAGAGACCTGGAACAGGGCAGATCTGCTTCCAGAGGGGCAAGAGGGGCTTTGTTCAGGCATCCAGACCTACCCAGGCTACAGAGCTGGGCACTGACCTGGCCCCACCCAGCTCTGACCCTCAGCTGAATCCCGTCTGTGAGGGAGAGGACAGGCCAGCCAATCCCTGAGGCCCCAGACCGCACCCCTGGCCAGCCTGACCTGGAGGGTATAAATATACCTGCCAGGGCACCTCAGACAGCTTTGTACCTGGGAGAGCACAACATTCCCTGCCTCCACCCCCACCCCCACACCTGGTATAGAGCAGAGGCAGTGCCTGCCAGACCAGTGCCACAGGACAGCAGCTGGCAGCCACTCTGTGGAGAGAGACCTACCAGGTGTAGCACAGGCTGCCGGTCCTGGAGGAGAGGGAGTGAGCCCTGCTGGAGCCAGGAAGCCCAGAACTTTACAGCTTAATTGTGGATGGCCAAGAAGACAATGCTCAGAACCCACTGACCCCTGGCTGCCAGGTAAGAGTAGCTCAGCCTGTTCTCACCCCTTACCTATGCAGGCCCAGGGTAGGGCCCTGTTGTGGAAGGGTGGGGCTTGGTGCCAAGGAACTGGTTCTATCTGGTGCACAGGTGGGAGGAGGGCAGTCCCCTGACCCTGCCAAAGCTTCTGCCTGGCCCAAGGCTACTGCTGTTCCCAGGATGTCAAGATGTCACACATTGGGTACCTGGGGCACTTGTGACATCACATCGATATTGCTGTGACCCAGGTAGTCACAGTGATGTGGTCACACCTGAATCATTCCAACCCACCTGCCTGGGCCTGCCCGCAGTCTGGGTCAGGGCCAGGCAGTGTGAGGGGCACTTCTGGGGCCACTGCCTGGGCTCCATGACGTCCTATGGCTGGGGCTTTGGAATTCACAGAGACAATGAAAAATTGGTCACCCCCTGCCTGGGCACTTCCAGGGAGGACCCTGCTGACTTCTGCCTTCCTAGGATGGACCCCTAGGTGAGGGAGGGGTGGGAAGCAGGGCTGGCCCTGGTTAGCTGGGTGCCAGTATGGACTGCACCCAGAAGACAGAGCAGAGTCTCTAGAGCCCTTAAAAGTGGGAGCAGGCAGAGAGAAGAGACCCTGTGGGATGGACCAGAGGGCATGCCTAGGGCTGGTGCAGGACCCACCCCTGCCACAGCCACCAAACCCACATCTCCAGCCAGACACACTGGTCACATGGGGACTGAGATTAGAAGAAATCTTTAGGCCATTGGCCACTGTCCCTCTCTGTCTTCCTACAACCCCATGGGTTCTGCCCTGCCCCCAGCCCCAAAGACTTTGCCCTACCCTTGCATAGTTGCCCGCAAATGGGGCTTATAGCAACCAAACCTTGTCCCCCCACCCCACCTGGGGTGTCCACCTGGCCCAGAGCCACCAGCCTGCCTGAGGGCCCCACCCATAAGGGCCTGGATCCTGCTGGCTGCTGAGCTGTATGACCCAAACCTGAGTTGCACTTCCTACACTGAAGCTGCTCTGGGCCTCCCATGACATCAGCCCTGGACTCAGGCTTGTGGAGCCCAGGCACAAACATCAATGTTGTGGATCTTTGTCATCACCACCATTCTGTCTGGGCAGCAGGGCCAGGTGGGCAGTCAGTGTGACACCCTGTGTAAATGGCCTTCATCCCTGGGGCCCCTTCTGGGCCATGTACCCTGGGATGCTCACCCCTGGCATAGCCATGTGATGAGGTGGAGGTGACCAGGATTATACCTTGGGGGAAGGGCCTCTGGGACACAGATGGACCTTTCATGGAGGTACCCTCCATGAGGTCCTATGGCTGGGGCCTTAGAATTCACAGAGACAATGGAAAAAGTGCCTGGGCACTTCTAGGCAGGACCCTGGTGACTTCTGCCTTCCTAGGATGGACCCCTAGGTGAGGGAGGGGTGGGAGGCAGGGCTGGCCCTCATCAGCTGAGTGCCAATATAGACTGTGCCCAGAGGACAGAGCAGGGTTTCCAGGGCCCTGTGCCTGGCCAGACAACAGAGATGTTTCACAGAGGCATGGGACCCATCTCTGGGATCTTTGGGGTTGGAGCTGGGCAGAGGAGGAGGGAGAAAGAACAGACTGACCTCTCAGAAAGGAGGCAGCCTGTGGTCACTCACAGAGGTGTCTGCCCCATAGTGCAGAGCCATGTCATCAGGCCCGCATGTATGGCACACGGCTGTACCACCCCCTGGCCGAAGCAACTCCACAGCCTCTGGGCCCAGTTCCCCCAGCTCACCTGGCTCGGAGAAGGTGGCCTCTCCACTGGAGTGCTCCATCTGCTTCTCAGGCTATGACAACATCTTCAGGACACCCAAGGAGCTTACCTGCACCCACGTCTTCTGCCTGGAGTGTCTGGCCCGGCTGGCAGCTGCCCAGCCAGCAGGCCACCCTGGCAGTGAGGCTGTACCCTGCCCATTCTGCAGGAAGCCTACGGCCTTGCCACCTGCCGGGGCCCCAGCACTGCGTACCAGTCGCCAGCTGCAGGCCCGGATGCCAGTGCACCTGAGGCATGAGGAGCCAGTGTGGCTGGAGGGCACAAAGCTTTGCTGCCAGCCTCCACCTGCTACTCCTGGCCACACTTCTGGCTTCATGTGTGTGGATGTGGGCTTAAGAAAGCCCTCTGAGACCACCATGCCTGAACCAGCCCCTGCTCCTGTCCGACATTGGGCCTGCCTGGCCCGCTGCTGGGCACGCTGTGGGGACTGGAGGCGCATGGCCCTGGTCTCAGCCCTGCTGCTGCTGCTCTTCTGCCTGGTGCTCTGGCCCGTGCAGTGTGCACTTAAGACCGGAAGCCTGCGCTGCCTACCCCCACGACCCACAGCCACAGCCAGTGCCTTCTCCCTTAGGCCTTTGGCCAATGACTAGGGTCACCAGCCTGTGCCCAGGTTAGCCATCCCACCCAGCTCCACAGTGAGCCCCCCACTGACAAGGCTCAAGGACACAGCAGCCACTGGAAACCTGTCCTCAAGAGAGAGCACATCTTAGAGGACCCCATCTGGGCCCCACCAAGACCTGTATCCCATTCAGCTGCCCCTCACCCTTTGAGGCCAGGTCCTGATGGGATGTACAAAAGGATCCCCAAAGCCTTGAAGAACCACAGGATGCCCCGGGCTCAGGAGAGGAGTCCAGACCCTCCCTCCCCTCCCTGTGCTGACTTTTTACCCCCAGGCAGGGCTGGCCCCTCTGTTGGGTGGGGCTGTCAGTCTTGCCCTCCAAAAAGACTGAGGGACAGAGAGTGGAGGCAGGGCAGTCTCCCAGTGTTGAGATGACTGTATAAACTTCCTAGATGCTCCTCTCAGCTTTGAGAGTTGTAGGTTTTAAAATAAATTATTTGTATCCACATTTGGTAAGAGGTCCCTGTCCTGTGCCCACCCTCAACCCACAGAATATCCCACTGGATCAGATACCTGGCAGCCGCAGGGGTGGGTGGCCTCTGTCTCCAGGGGTGCCAACTCCTGCCCCTCTTGGGCAGTTCTTGGCTACCCTCCATGGGGATGGAGAGAGCCTAGGGCCCTTAGGGTAGGGCTGGCAGGAAGGGTGGAGCCTCAGCCAGGCCCAGAGCCCTGCCATGGGGTGGGGGCCCTTCTCCACTGTGGCCACTGTAGGTCCCTCTGCACACCCACCAACCCAGCCTGGCGCATGAGGTGGCCACTCCCTGTCCTACCTTCAGCCCAGGAATCCTGCACCACTAGGCAGGCATGACCAAGAAGCCTGTGCTGGTTCCAGCTTGGGCAGGTCTCACTCTCCTCACCCCTGACCTTAAAGTCCAAGTACTTCCTGGTGAACCAGCTGGGTCTCTGTCTGGGGTGGGTAGGGGACTCAAGGAGACCCTGGAAAAACTGTCCAGTGTGGGGACTCACAGGCACCCATGCCTGAGGCACCAATGAAGACACAGAACTGAGAACACGGGACTTTACTGAAATACCATATGGCTATAGGCCATTCCATGATGGGGGTGACATCACACACAGTCATGCACATGTGGGCCACACCCTCGACACTTTGGCACCAACTTGTGAGGTTGCATAGTCAGGTGGTCAACAGCCACTCACAATGCACCCTCATGCGACAAGCATTTATCCATCTGACCATGACGGGCTGAGCCACCGCCCAGCTGAATCCCAGACCACCTTGATACAGGAAGGGCTGAAATGCTGGTGCTGCAGTGAGGTCAGGGACAGATGAATCCTAGTGCTTCTGGCCACTCACACAAGCTCTGTCACCCAGGGACAAACCACAGCCCTGCCTTCCCTCTCCAGCCTTCGCCTGCCTTCCCCGGCTTGCCCTGGTGCCTGGTTAACGAGGGCCTGAGGCAGATCCCAGTACCCACCCAGTGCTCAGGTACGAGCTCCTCAGTACAGTTCTCCGAGGGACACCAAGGGCGCTGGTCACTCCCCGCGTAGGCGTGGGGCAGGTCCAGAGGCTATGCAGCCCCTCAGCGATGGAGGTAGTGCTCGCAGGAGGCCTCTGGTGTCCCGCGTGGGAAGCAGACGGTCAGCCCCGCTTACCCGGTACACCCACCAAGCCCCTGGACCTTCCAGGTGACCCCGCCCCCTAGAGACCCCACACCCACGTCTGGGTGGTGGCGCTCTTCCTGTGCTTCTTCCGGGAGAGGTACCTCTGTAGGTCACCAAGGTGACACGCCTGTGCAGGTCCCGCTTCACCTGCTTGCGCAGGCGCAGATGTCCTGGATGTACCTTGGCGACGCGACGCCAGGTACCCGAAAGTGTACCCGACCTCCGGTCTGCATCACGCCCGAGCGATGCCGCCGCACCAGCTGGATGGTCTTTGGGACCTCGATGTCGCCAGGGGACGCGCGCGCTCTGGGCGGAGCCAGCAGGGGCGGGGCTCCGATGCCCAAGCTGTTTGGACTAACCAGGCGGACTGTGAAGGTTCGTCGCCTAGGCCAAGGACCCGCCCTTATCGTGGCCCCGCCCAGAATATCGGGGCACGCCCCAACAGGCCACGCCCCCGACATGCAGCTCTAGGTGCGGTTCACTTCGGTTGAGTTTGGCTGCGATTCCGTGGCAGGCCAGCAAAATCCCTACCAGGAGCATCGCGGGTTCTGTGCAGGGTGGGGCGGTGCAGAGGAGCGAGAGGAGGCCTCACTTGGCACAGGAATCCCTGGCCCCTAGATGGAGTGGCCAGGGATTAACCAAGGCCGAGCAGGAGGGAGAGGGAAGATAAGACGGAGGGGGGTACTGAGGGAGGGGAAGGACAACAGAGAGGAGTAGGGATGGGGAGAGGAGGATAATGCCAGAAGGAGGAGAAGAGTTGGCCCAGCAGCCTGAGCGAGGGAAGGGGACAGGGAGCATGAGGGGAGAAGCAGGTTGTAAGGACAGTGGGCCCATCCAGGGGGCTAGGCACAGGGGATGGGGCAGGGGAAAAGAATCTGCTTGGGACAGAAGTAGGCACCGCTGGCTTACAAAGGAGACTGAAGCTGCTGAGATGGGCTGGGGTGAGGTCACTGAGCCCAGTTAACACTCACTGCCCAGAGCCCTCGCCTGTGCTCACTGGGTTGTGAGACAAGGAAGCCACCCAGGCCAGGAGGGTTGGATAAATTCAGCTATGGAAGGCTTTCCCAGCTCAGCACAGACCTGAGGACTCCTGACCACTCCCACCCACAGCACACCTGCTTGACTGTCTTCCAAGCCCACCGGGACTGGGCACAACACCTGCAACTCCTGCCCACAGTAGGAATGGCCCTTGGCCAGGCACTGAGCAGCAGTGCACTGCTGGCTAGTGCAGAAGCATCTGTTCTGGGGGGAATGCCTGCACCAGCCTCATTGGCAGACACCGCACCCTTACCCTGCATGCTGCAAGGACACACACACGTGCCTTTTGGGGGGCTTTCTGGGACCCTCTCCACTTCCAGTGTCCCATAGGCTCCTTCTCCCTGCTCCTTCAGCAGCCAATCCTACCTGGCCTTGCCCCACCTCCCTGCTAGTTGTGACTGTGACGTGAGTTCTTTTTTTTTTTTTTTTTTGAGACAGAGCCTCAAGCTATCCTCCTGGGTAGAGTTCTGTGACATCACAGCTCACAGCAACCTCCAACTCCTGGGCTCAAGGAAGTCTCCTGCCTCAGCCTCCCCAGTAGCTGGGACCACAGACGCTTGCCACAATGCCCAGCTATTTTTTGGTTGCAGCTGTCGTTGTTTAGTGGGCCCAGGCTGGATTTGAACCCGCCACCTTAGGTGTATGTGGCTGGCGCCTTAGCTACTTGAGCCACAGGTGCTGAGCCAACATGTGAGTTCTGATGGACCAGCAAGGCATGCAGACAGGCCTGTGATGCATACCTTCCTCACTCCATGGCCTGACTCCTCTTCTGGGGTCACTCTAAAAAGAATTACTAGCTGTTTCCCCAGCAGTCAAGCCCCAGGGAATAAGTCTTTGCAAGCCCCAGAGGAGCCCTAAGTGGCTCAAACAGTCTAGGCAGGGAAGGAGCTTGGGATTAAGGTTCAGTCTGCCTGCTCTGAGGGCCTCTTGGGGACTCCTGCCCAACCCTCCCTTGAATGTCTGCTGTCCTGTAGGGTCCACATTTTGCCCATGACTCTTGGGACCCTGGTGCAGAGGCAGGTATGGGTGCCTACCCCAGCTCTGGATGGGTGGGGCAGGTGGGCAGGTGGGGAGTCCATCAGGTTACATAATGCAGTTTATTTACCATAGTGGCTTTTGTCCCAACATGGTTCCCTCATGAGGCCAGGAATTTGAGCTCAGGACTAAGTCGTACTCATGTGGTAGCCCAGAGCCTCTCAGGATGTCAGCAGGGAGAGAAGCATGAATGAATGAATGAATAGAGGAAGGAGAGAATGAACAGCTCCCCTAACCCTCTGGTTGGTAGGCCAGACCTGTCAGGTGCCACCACCCCCAATAGCATTGCAACTAATCTCTGCAGGAGGGGCTCTTGGTCATCTGGACATCTTATTCTGAAGCGTCTCCTTTGGCGGCACAGAGGACACCCAGGGCCCCACCAGGAGAGACAAGCAAAAATTGTTGCGAGGGAGGAAGGAAGGTCCCTGAAAGCCCATTGCAGATTCTCCTTTAACCTACTTTTAAAATCATCATCGAAGGTTTTCTCTTCCTGGCTCCATAGCTGATGCAGATGGAAACAATGAACCCCTTCCAGCAACACAGATAACTAATCAAGTTGGAACTTGCACAGGTAAATCAGAAAGAATGCCCCACACAGCCTGTCTCAAATACGTAGTGACAATCATATTTTGGGTTTGGGGCCTAGAGCTGTCCCAGGGGAGTCAAACTGGGGCAGTTCCCACTGAGCGGACAGTGGGTGAGGCTGCCATGCAATGACCTCCAGGGCAGTCACAGGTGAGGCCATTAGGAAAAGGGGTAGCAGCCTAAGACACTGGAGGGGAGAGGTTGGAGACACGGAGTCAAACCATGGACAGGAGTAGGCCCCTGACAGCTCCTCAGATAGCTATGAGCCTGCCAAGCCCCACTGGACCTGCCCTGTCCAGCCCCAACAACCCTAACCCATGGCTTCTAAAGCACAAGCCACATAACCCCTGCCTTCTTCGTAAGTCCTGGACCCTGGCTCATTGGCTGCCTCCTTCATCCAGAGCCACCTATGGGAGTTCAAAGCCTGTGTCCTCACCACTAAGCTGATCAAGAAGCAATCAGGAATCAGGCTGCTGGGCTGGCAGCTGAGGAGGACAGATCCAAGTGCCTCTGTAAAGTTTAAGACTTTATTTCATGGTGATTGACACACATACTGGAGTTAGTAACACGGTGCCACAAGGCTCCCTCTGGCTCCCATGTCAGCTACACTGAGGGTCTGGGCTGCCACCCCACCAGCTTTATCTAGTGTAGCTCCTAGGATTGGGCTGGAGATTGAGGGTTAGGACAGCGTGAGACATTGCAGTTTAAGGCATTTCTGGCTTCAGAGCCATCTTTATTGCCCTTACACCTGCCCTTTGGCCTTGGTCAGATGCTAGGCCAGCCCCTGATCCATCTCAGATGCCAAACCACTGTTCCTCACACTGGAGCTGCAGTGAGGGTATCAGGCCAGGGCAAGAAGGATGGGAGCACCCAAATCCAGGCATCAAATAAAATCAGTGCATGAAAAATGTGGTTGGCAGGCCAGGACCCTAAGGCAGGCAGGTAGACAACAGTCATTCCACCTCAGTCTACTCCCTCCAGAGGCTCCTCCCAAGAACTGGGCATGGCCACATCCAGGGTGGCTGGGTGGATGGACAGGGCCAGCTGAGAGGCAGGAAGCCCCAGAAGGGCCTGGGTCTGGCCTCTGCTCCCCAGCACCTTAGAAATGGGGGACTCAGCTGGGGGGGTGGAGGTAAGTGTGGCCTCAAGAGTAACAGTGTTTCTAAATCACAGGATTGGCCCAGGAGGTCCAGGCCAGCCCCAGTGAGGCTGGACACAACCCACAGTACACACAGGAAGGAGCAGCTTAAATGGAAACTCGGAAAGGCCCTGCAGGGATTGCACGGGGTGCCCCCTCAACCTTGGCAGCTCCTTTCTGCTCTGGGACATAAGCCCTGCCAGAAGGAGTGAGAGTAACCTGGGGGTAGGGTCTCTGACAAGCAAGGGGACACGAGAGGAACACATGGTGGACACATGGGAGCACAGTATGAAGCCTGAGGTGCGGCACCCTGAGGCAGAAGGGCTTCATCCTGAGGCTGCCATCAAGCCAAGCCCTTCATGCTGTCATGGTGCGCCAGAGTCCCTCAGCATGGGTTTGTCTGCAGCACGGCTGCCTGGACGGAAAGGGGGCCGGGCCAGCAGTCCCTCCGGCTGACAAGCAGGCAAGAAACCATTATCAAAAAGCAAAAAGTTTACAAAAATAGAAAATAATTACAGCAGGATGGGTGGTGAACTCAGATGCCAGCTCATGGAGTAGGGCAGGGCTGCAGCTTGGGCTTGGTGACGGCATCCTCCAGTAGGCGCAGTGGGCGCTGGCCCACGACCACATCCTGCAGGCAGCCCACAAAGCCTGTGCTGTACGCTTTGGGTAGTGCCTGGCCGGCAGGCAGCTTCTGCAGACCCCCTGTATGATAGTAGAGAGTCACCCAGCTGTGACTCAGCAATGCTTCCAGGCAGAGGGACCACTAGACCCTTGTGCCCTCCATCGGTCCTGCCTCTTGCCCACAACTCTGGGAACCACAGGAGCTAAAGTGGGAGAGGACAAAGGCTGCCCCAGCTGGCCTATCTGCTGTGCTGAGGGGGGCTGGTGCAGGTGCCAGCTCTGGGGGTAAAGTGTGTCCTTTGGGTACTGTGAGCCCCATGGGGCCCTCTAGACACTCACCAAGCCACAGGGTTCCATCTGTGTCCAGCTGTGTGGCGCCCAGTGGGGAGGAACCAGTCACAGGGGCCTCGTTGCCAACTTGAAGTGAGCCTTCTCTCTGTTCCCTGGGGATGGGGGCGAGACCACCAAGGGCTCCAGAGCGCCCTCCTCAATCCTCTACATCTAAGTGCCTTGTGGGTACCACACCCCAAGGACCAGGCCAAGCACCATCCCAGGAGGCCAGGATGGGGTGGCCCTTATCCCCAGAATAGCACTTGGTGGCTGAGACAGGGGATGCTCAAGCTAGTCATGCCTCCCACATTATCACCCCCCAATAGGCACAGCTCCCTTCCCAGGTTGGGAGTCACCTGTGACTACTTTTCCTGCATCTTCCTGTCCTTCCCTAACCCCCGGCTGGGAGTGACCCTGGGTCAGGCCACCCAGCCTGTCTTTCCTAACCCCTGCCCAGCCAGGAGTGACCAGGCACAATTCAACTGGGCAAGTCCAGGCAGCGTGGCACTATGCTTGGTGCCCCAGGCCCCTGCTGACCTGTGTGCCCTGACCCGTAGCCAGTGGTTGGTGTTGACTGGCACGGAGGATCGCAGCACCACAGGCTGGGAGCCCAGGTCATAGGTCATCTGCAGGTGCCCATCAACGATGGCCAGTGCCATGTAGTCCGCCTGCTCCGTGGCCTTGCCACTCCACAGCACCAGCCCCTGTGTGGCTTCAGTACGCAAACTCAACTCGAAGTGGTTGCTCTGCAGCGCCTTCTCACTGCAGGGCAGAGGCAGGTCAGGGCCTCAAGGGTGGTGGCAGCAGGCAGGAATGGGTAGGGGCCACAATAGCAGAGGCCATGGGGGCTATGGTGGGACCCGGGCTGGAAGTGTAGACGGATAGGCGGACACCGATAGAGAAGGGAAGGAGAGAGATGAACAGACAGAGGGGCAGCTGGGCAAAGACAACCAAAGACAGCATGGAGGATGGCATGGTGACGGACCAATGGGGTTGCCAGGCACTGCCATATGCTCACCTGTGAGAAGCCCCAGAGTCTGGAGTTTTGGGGCTTAGAAGCAGGAAGAGAGGGAGACAAGTAAGCAGGAGTGGGTAGGCTGATGCACCCCCTCCTCAGAAGGGGAGGAGCAAGCATCCACAGAGAGAGGCATGAGCCCACCCCCAACCTGCAACATGCACATGTGGACAGCCAGGGAGAATGTGGCCCAGGCTGCATGCAGAGCCCAAGAAGGAGACAGAGGGCAGGCGTTGGGGATTGAGGGCTCTCCGGTTGGAAGTGGCCTCTTATGCTCAAGTACACATATGCACACTCACGCACGCACATGCCCAGACACACAAACCTGCTTGCTCGCACACCTACAGACAAACACGCACATGCAAACACAGAGAAACTCATACTCCCATGCATGCTCATGCACACCTAGGCACACACACGGGCATGACTGTGCTGGTGCCTAGGTGCCGGGGTTGGCTGTGGGGGTGGGTGAGCTGACCAACCCTTGTAGGCTTCCCCAGAGGGGTGACACCCCCTTTCAAGGTAAGGAGCTGAGCCCCATGCAGTATAAGCAGTCCCCTGGGCTCCCCACTATGGTGGAAAGTTCTGCCCTGGTGGGGCTCTGGACTGTGCTGCAGATGGGTGGGGCAAAGAATGGGTGAAGGTAAGGAGGTACAGGTGGGCCATGGTGCTACTTACGCTGGGATCTCATTGGTTAGTTCGCTTGGAAACAAAGAGACAAGTGGTAAGAGGAAGGAGTGTACAGGTGGGGTGGTTGGTGGGCCTCTCTTCCTGGCCACAGGCTGTGGGGGTGTGTGTGCAGAACCCTACACCCTGTCCTATACTCATGTACAGACAGGACCAGGCCAACAGCAGAGGATGGGGCTACGGGGTTGAGGGGAGTGGTGGTAGCCAGTTACCTCTCAGTTACAGCGCTGAGGTACTCAATGTAGGTATGCCCATCAAAGGCCAGTGTGTCCAGGTCCCCTGCCGCTTTCTCAATCAGCCCTGCAGGACGAGCAGGTGAGAGCAGGCCTTGCTGGGCCTGGGGTGTCTGGCCCTGCTCTAGGCAGCCAGCACTCACCATTCTCACAGTGCAGCCCTGAGAACCCTCCAGGGCACAGGCACACATACATGGCCTCCTTGGGCACACAGGAGGCACCGTTGAGGCAGGGGTGGCCTGAGGCCCAGGTGCAAGGGTGGTCTGTAAAGGATGAGATGTCCACTGCTCGCAACACATGCTCCTGGGTCAGCAGCTGTTGGCCTCTCAGGGAGACCTATGGGGGAATGAGAGCCTCCGTCCTGCTTGCTGCCCTCACCCCAGGGCCCATTCATGGGATGCTGTCACCTCACCCCACCATGGAGAGCCCTGCCCTCACCCCACATACCAATTGGATGGCACCATCAAAGCCGGAAGATACCCCAGCTGCCCGGGCCAGCTTGCTGAAGTCAGGGGCCCCCCCAATGTAGAGTGGCTCCTTCAGGTTGAGGACAGTGTGTGGAACCTGTGGGGAGGCAGTGGGTGAAGGGCTGTGTGGAGCCCACCCACTGGGCAAAGGTCCAACCACTTGCAATATCCAACACCCCTAGGGCCCCAGCCTAGCTAGGGGCAGCGTTAATTCACACAGAAATGGCAGGTGGTGGGACTTAGTCAGGGGAGGAGCTACTCTAAGGTGGAGATGCTAGAGACAGATGATCCAGATGACAGGGTGGACAGTACCTTACGGGATTTCTGACATCCAAGAGCGGTGGGGGTTGCGGAGCGAGAGCAGAGAGCAGTGAGGCAGAGGGAGGCAGAGGACAGCACAGACAGAGAAAACAGTTCAGTGAGAGCCACTGGCAGTGGCCAGGCCCTGGAGGAGGAGGAGGAGGAGGAGGCTGCGGGGTGGGAGCAGGTCCTGGAGGGGCCAAGGCCCCACTCATGGTGGGGCACTCACCGGGGACTCCCCTAGCACTCGGGAGCCATCACCAACACGTATGGAGCCCTTGCGGCCATTTCGCTCCAGTGAGACCCGGGTCCAGGTGTTCAGGGTGACTGGCTCCTTGTTCCTGGCAAGGAGGGTGCATGTGAGTAGGCTCTGGGCCCACCACCCACTGGCCCACTTCTGGGCTCAGGCAGCCCCTGCCGACGCGGGTCCACCTGATGATTGCTGCCCCCTTGCCCAGGTCATAGCGGAACTCCAAGTGGCGGTTGTGCAGTGCCAGCGACACAAAGTCCCCCTTGCCATCTGTCTTCTGTCCATTGTAGAGGAGCAAGCCGCTGGGGCCACGAGCCAGAAACACCACCTCCAGCTCCATCTTCTCCCTGGGGTCACATGCCATTGTGGGGCCTCTTGTTGTCCCCCTCCCCCACAAGCTGGACAGAGGCAAGGACCTGGTACCCCCAGACTGACCCTAGGTCCCGCCCAAAGGTGTGCAATCCTTTCAGCTCCAGGTAGGAGAAGCCACTGAAGTCAGCCAGGAAGGGCCGAGTGTCATCCAGCTCCAAGACTGTGGAGGACCAGGCAGAGTCATACAGGGCTGCTGCCTTGGCCCTGGGAGCCTCCTGCACCCCACCCTCATAGCTCCACTAGCCCTGTGCCCAATTCAAAACCTAATGCTGTAGAGAACCCCAACCCACACCTCAACTCCAACCGGACCCAATCTGAATCCCATGCCTTGAGAGCCCCATGCTCCTTACCTGTCTGGCAGAGAGCACCCCCACGTCCCAAGGGGCACTCGCACTTAGCTCTACCCTCTGGCAGCACGTGGCAGGGGGCTGCCCCATGGCAGGGGTTTGGCTGACAGGGACTCTTCTCATAGGTGCAAGTTGGGCCTGGAAGGAGGAAAATGGGGGGGGGGAGGTCCCAAAAAGCCTAAGACCTTGCCCATAGTCACATGGTTTCCCAACCCTGGCACCTGGCCCAACCCTGCCCTCACCAAAGTGGCCAGGTGGGCACTGACAGTGGAACATGCCAGCCTCCAGGGCCTGGCATGGGGCCCCGCCATGGCAGGGGCTGGGCAAGCAGGGGTGGTCTCCACACTCGCCCACACCGGAGCTTTGAGTCACAGCCCCCTGCCAGTTGCTGAGCTCCAGCCGTCGGTTGTTGACATCTAGCAGGCGGATGCAGCCCCTCAGGCCAACACCAATGGCTGTCCGCTCAAGCACCCTGCCACCAGGAAGGAAACAGATCAGGGACCAGAGGCAGAGGCAGTCTCTCAGGCCAGTTGGAAGTGGCATCCCCAGCAAGCCAGAGCTGGGGCTCAGGGACACCCCTGTTCCCAGCCCCCTCTGATGCCTAGGATTTGGCTGGTCCCAAGGAGGACAGACCAGGAGGGTTGGGGTCAGCTCCTCCCTGGTCATAGGGCAGCCACCCACTGCAGGACAGGGTACAGAGCAGTGCAGGGTCACTGCCACAGTAACATAAAGGGGAGCAACACCCTCCTCCCCTTGGCTATTTGCAGGACTGCTTGGATCTCTTGGGTGCCAACCATAAAGCAAAGGTAGAGCCACACCACCAAGTGCTCACACGGCAGCCTGATCTTCTGGGACGCCGCCCACAAACAGGTCTGTGTCCAGGTTGAGGCCATCAGTGCCCCTGGGGCTCTCACCCAGAATAGGGGTCTCACCATCCACTGAGAGTGTACCCCGGCGCCAATGCCGCGACAGCTCTAGGCGGTGCCAACGGCCAGGCTCTATGGGCACTGCGCTAGTCAGCACTGCAGGCCCTGAACCTGTGTCAAACCTGGGGGCAGGAGCAGATACTCAGAGCCACTAGTCTGGCCCAACCCCCTTAACTCCACCCTGCCCTGAGCCCCATGCACCCATACTGCACCCCAACCCCTGATTTGCAGGCCTGTACCCTGTTCCGCCCACCCCACCAACCTGAGCTGCACGCGGCCGCCCTGCAGTGCTAGTGCCAGAAAGTCCTTGCCCCGTGCATTGCCGTTGTACAGCAGCAGCCCCTGAGGCTCCAGCGCCCGGAATTCCAGCGCCAGGCGCAGAGTGTGGTAGGCGCGGAGGGTGGGGAAAGCCAGGAAGGACTGGCCCCCGAAGGCTGGCACCGGGTTGTGCAGCGCTGCAGAGCAAAAGGGACTGTTGGCTGGGGAAGAACCGAGGACTCGCCCCCACGGCCTCGAGCTCCTCCCCTGCAGTGACGCCCTTACCTTCCTCACAGATCGCGCCTCCTCTGCCTGCAGGGCAGCTGCAGGAGAAGTCCCTGCCAGAGTCCCCCTCTCTGCAAGTCCCTCCATGGAGGCAGGGCTGGGAATCACAGGCCCTTGGGGGCTGTTCAGGCCGTCCTGGCACATGGCTGGGGACAGTTGGTGGGGGCCGGTGTGTAGTGGGCAGGGCGGTGGTCTTGCCAGCTGGGTGGCTGGTATGACTGGGGAACGAGGCCCAAGAGGTCACGGCAGAGGGCTGGTGGGCCACAGTGGTAGCTCTGGCTGTGGTCACAGCAGCAGTGGCTCCAGTGAAGAAGGCAGGAAACCAATCTGAGAGTAGGGGAAGCCATCAGGATCTGCTGGGAGCAGGACGTGGGTATGGGGACAGGCAAACTGGGCTCACCGAAGTCCATGAAGCGTACGTGCTCCTGCAGAGGGCGCCTCACCCCCAGGGACCGTCGCCGGGATGCCTGGATCTGCCGGAGGAGGGCTCGGCCCACATCTGGTGCCCTGAGGGTTGTGGCTGGGGAGAAACAGCTTTTGAGCATGGTGGCACATCCCCACCCCCAGTGCCTCCCGAAGAACCCTGGGGAAAGGCTCACTGGGGTCAAAGTGTACATCCACAATGGCTCGGACTGATCTGCCAGGTCCCAGGTCCCTCAGATGGACACTCCAAAAGTCTTTCTTGACATCTGAGTTCCGGAAGAGGTCATCCAGCTGTGGGCAGGGAGTGTATGGCTACGCTGGGTTGCCCAGGTCCTTCTGGAGCTGATCCCCTCCAGGCAGTTAGCCCCCTGCCTGGTGCTTTGGGTCTGTCCTGAGTGCCCTGTGCCCACAAGCCCTCTGCTTACTGTGCTTTCAATGCTTCTGGCCATCTCCCCAAACAGCTCTGACTTGGGGTCAGCCATCTCTGGTGTGTAGAACAGTTCCTGGCCCTCGACCCCCTCGAGCTCCAGCACACCCTGGAATACCTTGGTGGCTGTAAGGGAGAGGCAGTGAGGACCTGCCTGTCCCATCTGGCCCCCGGGCTGGCTCCGGCACAGGCCCCAGCAACAAGACACACAGGTACAGGGGCAGGTGGATGTTAGTCAGATGGTCATGAGGTTAGTGGGGACCCCAGGGCAGGGCTGGCATCAGTTACCAGGCAGACTCCTCGGAGCAGCGCCCCAGCCGGCTTGCAGCGAGAGAGACAGGTTAGGCACAGGTCCCAGGCACACATGTGTACAGGGACCAAGACCACACTTGTGCATGTGTGTGCCAAATCCCTGAGACCATCACCCTTGGTACCGACCTGCTGCCCGGGGGTAGGGAGGGCACCCCGGCCATGTCCAGGTTGATCCTCACTCTACCTGCCTCCGGCCACCCACTCACCAGGGCAGTTGGAGCCCTCTGCGTCCAACAAGGGCGTTTTCCCATCTGAGCAGCAGCCCAAAGGCGAGTTATAGCAGGAAGCCCTCTCTATGGGTGGCCCCAGGGTCACCACGCTGCTGCCCTCAGGGGGCTCAAGTCCTGGGGAGGTGCAGTCTGAGCTCAGCCCCAGGTGGAGCCGCTCTTGGGCCTGCCCACCTGCCTGGACCCCTGAGCACCCAAGACCTGCTCCCCATAACCTGAGTACCTGAGACTTGACCCCTGCATACCCCCCACCTTAAATACCACAGACCTACCCCCTCACACCTTCATTACCCTAGACCTGCCCCTATGTCCTACACTCTGCTCACCCCCAGAGCCTCCCCCGCTGGCCTCCTGGTCCCCGCTCAGCTCCTGGTCTCCACTTCCGTCAGCACTCCCAGATTCTCCAAAGGCAGATGTGGCAAGGCTGGGTGCAGGGGAGGGTGCTGTGGGGGGCGCAGTCAGCATGGGCCACATGGTGGTCCTGGGGATGCTGGCAGTGGTCCAAGGCCGTGGTGGGGGTGGATGTGTGGGCTGGCTATGGGGGGTACTGCTGGGAGCCAGGGGGAGGGTGCTGGGAAGAGGCGGCAGCGCCTCACTCAGGACAAGCCCCGAAGTGGTCACGGGTGCGGGTGCTGGGTGGGCACCAGGAGTGACAGCCTCTGCAAGGAGAGGGAGATTAGGGGTGGGAGCTGGTTGAGGGTGCTGGGGTGAGGAAAGGGTCAGGCCTTTCTGGTCAGTTCAGGGCAGTGGCCACTGGGCCTCACCCTGGCATGGGCCGAGGCTTTGGACAGAGATGTGCAGGCCCTGGCGGCAGGCGATGGTCTTTAGCTGGCACTGGTTGCCATAGGTGACTCCATCAGATCCACAGACCTAGGCACAGGGCAAGGATGCTTGGGAGAGGGCTTCCTCTCAGCCATACCCCCTCCATGGTGCCCACCCTCACCTTGGTGGAATTGGCCTCAGGACAGGTGAGTGTCGGGCAAGCACAGTGGGCAGAGCCAGCCTCCTCCACGCAGGAAGCACCAAACTCACAGCGCATCTCTGCACAGGTCTTGGGTGCTGAGGGAGCTGCACAAACATAGGAGCCCCTCCAGCTCAAGGAGCCCTACCTCCACATAGGAAGCCCTAGGTCAGCATCAGCACTTGCCCTCCTTACCTGCTTCACAACCAGCAGGGCCCAGAGCATAGCCATCTGGACACTGCCCACACTTGGGGCCAGCCACTCCAGGTTTACAAGAGCACAGCCCAGTCATCTGCTCACAGTCATCCCGCACAGCTCCCCGAGGCTCACAGCTGCAGGCTGGGGAAGACCTGATGTCTGTACCTGGACACACTCCCCACCTGCTCCAGAGTCCAGCCTGCACCCCTGGCATTGCTCAGTCCCAGCCAGGCATACAGTAGGATAGGGCCTAAGCAGGTGAAAGGACAGTGGGGTTCGGGGGGCAAGCAGGAGTGCTTAGCTTGTGGCCACCCCTGGGCCCTGTCACTCACGGGTGCAGCCACTCCGGCCATCAGTGACAATGCCTCGGAAATTCCAGAAACCAGGCTCACAGCGGTCACACCTGAGGCCACCCACACCTGGGCGGCAGGAGCACTGTCCTGTGGCTGCATCACAGGTCCTGCTGTAGGAGCCATGTGGGTTGCACTGGCACACGCCTGTTGGGCCAGGTTATGACACCATCATGTGGCTGCACCGCTACACTAGGCCGCTAGGCCTGCTGGGAACCAGGGCCCAGCTCAGGTACTCACTGGGGCAGCCAGCCAGGCCCACACCCTGGGCAGCAGTGATGTTGTCCTGGCAGCAGCCATAGGGGGTCTGGGCACAGTGTGAGGGAGCCACAGATGGCAGTGGGGCCAAAGTGGGACCTGTATGGAAGGGCACAGACTTCACACAGTGCTAGACAACCCCCTGGGCCTGGCCGCCTGGCCACTGTGCCTCTGCCAACCCCAGCCAAATTACCACTCAGCCCTGATACCAGCTCCCACTGGGGCTTGGGGGTGAGATCACAAGTAAGGACACATCACACATAAGGACATGTCTGTTAAGGGAAGACCAGGAACCTATAGGACACACATAGCCACATGCACACAAAATACCCCAAATCATAGAAACACAGCCCTGTGCACACTCAGAAAAGTATGTTTTTAGAAGCTAGCACACACACGTACAGTGCCTTTGTTCTTATACACTCACACTACCCAGACACATCTGCATACACATGTAAGCAGACTTTCACTAAATGTGACATGACTAAATGTGTTTACTGGATCAGTTTCCCCTCATCAAGAAATTTTCCCCAACACGAAAATGAGGCCTAGAAGTGGAGTCCCACATGGCTCACACAACAGGAGCTTAGTGCACACTGACAGCCGGCCCCCCTGCTGTAGATGCTGAGTAGGAGCACACATGCACATTGCATGCATGAGCCACCACACACAAACCCACCACAGCACGTGGGCACATCCACCCACCTCATACTTGTGTGCATGCAGGAACAGAGATTGCTGCATGTTCTCACATGAAGTCTGAACCCCTGTGCCCAGACACACCCCAAGGTGCCCACTCACCTCGGCAGGCTCCCTGGGCTGCAACATACAGCTCTTGCTGCAACTCACACCTGGCCTTCTTCAGGTCACACTCAGTGCTGTAGGTGACCCCATCTGAGCCGCACACCTGGAGAGGTGGTATCAGTGTGGCCAGCTGCAGCCCCTTCCTCACCACCCTCCTAGAGCCTGAGGAGGGCAGGGGGCTCACCAGGCTCCTCAGGACACTCTGGCAGCTGAAGTCACAGATGCATGGCCCATCCTCTGAGTCCTCGTCCCAGATGCCACCGTGCTGCTGGCACAACTCTTGCTCACACTCACTGTCCTCCCCAGAGCCAGAGCCTCCAGAGCCACACTCAGCTGCAGGGAAGGGGACTATATCATGCACAGAGTCCTTGTCCAAGGCTGGTGTCCAGCAGCTCATTCTAGATAGTCCTTGGACCTACCCTGTTCACATGGCCCTGTCCGGACCCCCTCGATCTGCACCTGCTGGCGGCAGGCAGCTTCCCGCATCTCACACACACTGCTGTAGGTGACACCATCGCTGCCACACACAGGACCAGGTGGGGGGCGCTCACACCGGGGACACACACACTGGCCAGCTGAACACACAGCCCCAAAGGCACACACTGTGTCTCCACAAGTCTCTGCAGGAGAAAGAACCAGGCAGGGTCTCCAGACCCTGGCAGAAGGAGATGGTGACCCTGGTTTGACTGGCCCCACAGCCTCACTCACGGCAGTGTCCAGCTGAGGCTACACGCAGGCTGATCTGGTGTGTGCAGGCGTGGACGTGCAGCTCACACTCACTGGAATACGTGTGCCCGTCAGAACCACACACAGGCTGGGCTGAGGCCACACACTCAGAGGGGCACACACAGCGGCCAGTCTCAGCCTCACACATGGCTCCAAAGCGGCACTGCCCACAGCGGTCTGGAGAGGGGGCTCTGTCACCAAGGTGACCAGGCACACGCCCCTCCACCAGACCCACCTGTCCACCACTGACCACAGGGTCCTCTGCGGGCCACCTGGATCTCCTGTCTGAGGATACATGCTGTGGATTCCAGTTCACATGCGCTGCCATATGTGATGCCATCACTGCCACACACAGGGTCATAGATGCCCAAGCATGCCTGCTGGCACTCACAGACTGCCTGCCCATTCTTCACAGCACACGTCGCCCCAAATGTGCATAGTACTCCATGGCATGGGGATGGGGCCTGGTCTGGGGGGTGGGGGGTAAACAGACACTCAGCAGGCCTCCACCCCCTCTCAGCTCTGAGCAGAGCTCCCAACCCCACGCAGCAGTCCCTTTCAGGGTAGGGATGGTGGAAGAAGAGCGAATAGGGAGAAGGGCCAGATGCACAGGACACAGCAGAGAAGTGACAGACATGACACCAATAGGACACAGAACTAAGCAGTCCCAGGAGTATGGGACAGGGCTGCATGAGTGCCCACTGGTTGGCTGTGGCCAGGCTCACCCAGCCCACCCAGGCCACTGACCCCTGACCACCAACAGCCCCAGGACACTCATGCGTGGGAGGGGCTCTCTTCATGGGCAGGAAGAGCCTACATCCCCAGAGTTACACCCAGCCCTGCACAGGGAAGGTGGTGTCTGTCTACTTGCTCTGAGGACCACAAGGCTAGGCAGCAGCAAGCCACCCCCCACCCCGCCGCGCCAGGGGCAGACCTCAGGCTGCGAACTCCAGGCGGGCAGGCGCGGCACCTCATCCTGCCAGCAGGCCAGGCTGGAAGACATAAGAGGCGGAGCCGACAGGGAAGAAGGACCAAGGAAAGGAAACAGACAGACGCAGAGAGAAAGACCAGAAAGATGTGTGGACCGACCAAAAAGGACAGAGATGGGCAGAGTTATGGCAGCCCTCAGGACATGAAGGCTGCTGCCCAGTTGCTACCATCCCCCACTGGCCTCTCAAACTCTGACTTGAACTCTGTCTCTAAGGGGTCTGGTGACTGAGTCCCAGGAACCTACCCCAGTAACATGCCTGGATACGGTACAGGGAGACAGAGGAATGGTGAGTGTGGGGACTGGGGACCCTGCATAAGGGCCCCCATCTCTGCCCCTTTAGCCCCAGAATCCCAGGCACTCTCCCCATGGCCTCCGTTCACCTGCCTGGAGTTTTCCGAGAGTGATGGGCCCTTGCCCAGGAACCCCAAAGGAGCATGACAGAGGATGATGATGGAGTATGATGTCGGGACAGGGACCAACGCAAGACCAGTCTGCCCCATCTGGACCTCCCCCAAGGGTGCTCACCACACGGGCCCCCGTGCTTGCTGGGAATGGCACGCTGCTGCCGACACTCCGCCTGCTGGCGCCAGCAGTCATTGTCATATGTGTGCCCGTCTTGGGCACACACAGGCCTGTAGGCCCCATCACAGGTGACACGGTCGCAGGAGCAGTGGTGGCGGCCCAGGCGGGACAAGCACACAGCATTGAACCAGCAGACCTCTGGGCACTGATCTGGGGGAGGCACAAAGCTCACAACGAGGCCAGATCACCCACCAGCCTGCTAAGGTTATGTAGGAGACCCCTGGGCATGGAGTGGTGTGTAGGCATGCTAAGTACGCAGGGATGGATGGGGAAAATGGGCCAACCCCCGGGGAGTCGCACACCTTGAGGCAGGCACTGGCCAGAGCGCACTTTCTGAAGGAGGAGGCCTCTTGCAGCACCCATGCGGCCCATGACACATTCATTTTCATAGGTGACCCCATCGTCCCCACACACTGGTGACCTCCGATCGGGACAGCTTTCTGGCCTCAGGAACATCTCTGGCAATCGCGTGTGCAGGTTCACGCGGCAGCTGCGGCTTGGGTCAGTGGGGGTGCCCTGGCAGGGGTCTGGGGGGGTCAATGGCAGGAGTCAGGGGCAGCCCCCACATGCATGGGCACAGAGACAGGCTGCACTAGCATGGTGCTCACCACAAGGGCCGCTGAACTTTTTGAAGATGTTCTCCTGCCTGGCGCAGGCACGGCGCAGTAGGTGGCACTCACTGGGGTAGTCAGCACCATCACTGCCGCACACTGTGCCTTCACTGGCACCCTGGCAGGTCGTGGGGCACAGGCACGAGGCCGTCAGCCCATCTGCTGAGCGCGCACAAGTGCTGCCGAAGCTGCAGGTTACATTGATGCAAGGGTCGCGGGACCCTGTTGGAGGGGTGGGGGTGTCACGCAGGCCGCCTTCCAAGTCCATCCTCACCCAGCCCCAGCCCTTCCCTCTCCACCCACACCTACCACAGGGGCCACGACGGAGCAGGCGGATACGTCGCTGCTGGGTGCACTGCGCCCGCTGTAGCTCACACTCGTTGCTGTAGGTGGAAGCATCCGAACCACACACGGGCGCCACGACACTGGGGCAGGTACTCTTCTTGCACACGCAGGAGGCCCGGCCTGGCCTTTCTGCACTGGGCTCGCACACAGCACCAAAGCCGCACAGCATTCCCCGACAGGCTGGTGTGGGGCAACAGGAGGGAGGGCTCGCTCAGGGCTGGCCACTGGATCCTGTGTCCACCCACGTCGCTATGAAAAGTCTGCAGTGGACACAGCCACAGGTTCCCCTACACGTGCGGGTTTAGTTCTCACCAATGGCCCCCTCGGGCCCCGCCCAATGAGGATGGGGAGGGCTCTCTTGCAGCGTGTACCAGCTAATTATGGCCCTAACCCCACCTTGGTGGATTTCCCCCACAGCCGCGCCGCAGAGACCATCTGCTTGCCACCTCCATCACAAGTGAGCAAGGGCCCTGTCCACATCAACATCAGAGTTCTTCTCCAGACTCGCCCTCCTAGTGCAGGTGAGGCACCAGTAGTCAGGCTCTGGACTCTTCATGTGGCGGCATCCACCTGCCCAGAGGCCCCGCCCAAGTTCCTCAGCTGAGCCCTGTTCCAATGCTTCCTCAGCCTTTTCTCTCCCAAACTGCTTTCTGCCCATCTCTCCCTCCCATAGTACAAACCCCAGCTCCCATGCCTCCTCCAGATCTAGCTGCCCCCCACACACTCAGCAGCCTCACCCCAACCTAACATTGACCTCAGGAGCTGTACTCATCATTCTGTTCTTGTATTAGCACACATCTGGTAAGTGGACCTGGCCACAGCCCATGGAAGGAGCCACTCCCAACCTTGCTGGTATAGATGGAAGGAGGGGTGTCTCAGCGAGGGACCAGCTGTCAGTCTCACACAGTGAGAGGGAAAAAGGCAAGTGGACATGTGAAGCCAGTGCTGCTAAGGACAGCCCCCGGCAGCCCTCTGAACACAGATGGGGCAAGAGGAGAGCTGACTCCAGCATCCTCAACAGGACAGCCTATCCATGGGTGAGGCAGGCTTATTAGGATTGCAGCTGTCTAGATTAAATCAATATTTAATTGGGTCCCATTATCTTTTTTTAAATTTTAGCCTTATTGGAAGGCCGTCAGGGTTCAATTATCATTAATACATCATGGCAGAGGGGGACAGGATGACTATCCTGTCAGGATGGCCAAAGAGGGCAGATGCACTGGGAGTTGGAGCCAGCTGTTGCTATGGGAACATGTAGACTCCAGGCTCTGCTGGTGTCTGTCTGGGCATACCCACCCCATCCCACCCTAGAAGGCTGAGTGAACAGAATGGGGGCTAGCCATCCCTGCAGCCCACTGTGCCTCGCCCCTCTACCGTTCTGCTCCTTTCCCACCTCAGATCCTGCAGCCAGGCTGCCCAGTCAGTGTCCACCCACCATATGATTAGGCAGGTGGATGCCTCAGTGTCCCCTTCTGTGAATAGGAGCAGTAGAGCCTACCACCCAGGGTTGTGGACTTATGAATAGAGAGGATCTAGCACATAGCACTATGTAGAGTATGGGCCATCATCCTAAGTACAGGAATAAGAATTGTCCTCAGCTATAGCCACCTTCTATCCTAGCTCAAACCAGACTCTGGCCATATATATGTACTCACAGCCCCTCACTGCCCTTCCCTGTTTCTCTTCTTTTCACCCCCTCAGTAACTCCCTTTCATACTTGGCCTTCTTTTGCCCAAGATACCTCCAGCCAAAGTCCAACAGGCATTTGCTGATGGCCAGCTGGCTGTTCTCTTTGGCTTCAGTTGGACCTGTTACCAAGCTCTCCTCCAGGTTCCCAAACCCATGGCTGAGGACCTGATAAGGGTCCCTATACCCAGGCTCCCTGGCTGCCTGATATATGTCTGCTCGTTGGGCTCAGCCTTCTTTCCCCCTCTGGTTACTCTGGCCCAGCCAGACCTTCCCAAAGGTCCCAACCCCATGGCCAAGGACACGTGTTCATCATCCATTGAGACCTGCACCTCTCTCCAAAGCCCATCCAAAGGCTCTGTTGTGTCCATCTGAGGCAGAGACCTGAGGAAGGTGATGATGGCAGACGAGCCAGGTAGGAGTAGTTAGCCAGAGGTATAGGGCCAGGGGCTTGGGGAAGCAGAGCAAATATTTTAGGGACTGGCACTGCTGTGGCAGAGGGCAGAGCAGAGACCTCAAGAGCCCCAGGGGCTGCTTAGCAGAGCTGACTACAGGCTTCCACTTCAGTCTGCTGGGTAGGTTCAGGTCTGGATTCTTCCACCTCATGCTCCATGACCTTTTGGGAGTCTGCTTGCCTCAGGAAGTCCCTTCAGCTGTGAAGCAGGAAACCCCTGCAGGCTCCCAGGGCAGCTGCAGCATTTGATGACATGAGGTAGCAAAGCCAAGGCTCAAAGGATTAGGTGCTAGTCCCTGCTCCTGCCCCTAGTCTAGGCTGAAAAAACATCTCAAGATTCAGCTCAGGCATCATGGCCTTCAGGAAGCCACCTCAGCCCCGTGTTCATACCATAGGGTCAGGTGAGGAGCTGCCTCTGCCTCCCAGAGAACCCACCAAGAGACCACAGAGGCTGGTGTTTTGATTGCACAAGCACACAGATTACCTGCACAGGCAGGTGCACGTTATCTGTGGCATGTGCACATGTATACGTGTGCATGGTCACACATACATCATCACAACAGCCACACCCTACAGTGTCAGCCACCACTGAGGCACCCTGCACATGATAACCATCAAGCCCCTTGGCAGAGGAGGAAGCTGAGGCATCGCTGAGTCCCTGGCGGCTGTGTTACTCCTAGACAGCAGTGCCAGGCTCAGGGTTGTTCAGTGTACCTGGTCACTGCCCATTCAGCCCCTCACAAATGCAGGTGACACACCTAGGCACCCATGAGCCCTGAATCCTTGATGGCTCAGCTCTGGGAGCACCCTGGGGGTGCTCCTCTGCCTGCTGCCCTGACTCAGCTTTCTGTGGGAGCCTCTCCCCAGCCATTCAGCCCACAAAGCCGTCTCTTCTGCTACACACCCAAGGCCCCCCAAAACACACAGCAGTACTGGAGGCGGCAACAGCTTTTTATAGTAACCCCTCAGGGTATATTTAACTTCTTTTCTTGCCTCGGGTGGATTGGGGGATGGAGCTGATGCCCCAAGCCCTGCCTATGGTCACAGTCAGATGGGTATCACAATGGTCATGATATGTAGCCATCCTTGAGTTTGTGCAGTGGGGTGTGGATGTGGGGATTCAGGTGGCATCAGCACTCTGGGCTTCAGGAGAGGTAAGCTGAGCCTTCCTTTTAAATCTAGGTGGCTCCAGGTCTCTAACTCAAAGGCTCTGGAAATTCAGTCCCAGCCCCATAAGTCACAACATCCTGTCCCTAGTCTTGGGGCTCCTGGGAAGAAGATCTCCTCAGATAAACAGTCTACCATAGGTTCCTACAACTCTGTGATCCCCAAATATCTCAGGTCACACACTTGAAGGGGGCTGCAGGCCCAACCCCTACAAGGCTATTGTGGCCTCACACACCCTGGCTATGTAGATGGATCTCCCCTGCCATAACCTAGGAGGCGCCAGTTGCTCAGAAGGGCCTTCAGGATTTTGTGGGAATAGCCCAAGGGGGTCGCTATTGGGGCTAGGGGCCAACAGGGGAGATTGCAGGGCCAGAGCCCAGGGTTAGGGTGGGACTCCTATAGCCACATCCCCACTCCCACTCCTCGTGCGGTCCCTGCCCAGGAGCCCATCGACCAAGTGCTTCAGAGAGGAGGCTGCCTGTACCATAGCACCCCCACCCTCAGCAGAGGGCAGCTGATTGCAGGTGACCCCTGAAGGGAAGCCACCAACAACACATGGGAAGCCCTGAACCCTTGTACCACTGAATTCAGCTCCTGCTCCTGCACATGGGGCAGGACTGTGGGTGCCCAGCAGCCACTCCCAACACAGAGTGGGCATCAAAGGGCTGTGGACAGAGGGAAAGAGGCCTCCCATCAGTGCCAGTTCATTCCCTCCATCAGTTGTACCCACTCCTGAGACCTGAGAAGGGACCCAGACTGCCCATGCTATCCAGAGCCCATCCAAAGATAGCCTATGGCTCTGTTCCCACCCTCAACCACTGCATGAACCTCCAGGCCATCTGCTCATGCCAAGTCCTAGCCAGGACAGACCCAAAGTCCTGTCCCACACACAGACAGCCCTATAGATGTGACTTCTGTGCAGGTGGACAGGTACCTGCCTAGGAAGGGACCCAGCAACAGGGCAGATACTTCCCCACCCCAGGCTATGTGAGAGCATCCAGGGCTTCCTACCACCAATAGCACATACCAGCAGCCCCAGTGGGAGGTCAGGCCCCAGCCCACAGAGGAGGTCAACAGGGCTGACCTGCCTCTTCCACAGGGTGTTCTCCCCTGAAGCCTGCCCAGTCCCTGCAGAAACCAGGCCCCTCCTCACATAGCTGTCAGTACACTGAGGCCCTCTCCCACCCCAGCCTCCCTTCTGTGCTCCTATCTACCTCTGGCCTCTGTCTAGCCTCACCCATTCCTAAACAAGGAAAACTAAGGAGAGGAAGGCCCCAACCAGAGAGACCCATTGCCCCAATCCACAAACTCCTACCCCATCACACACACGTTATCTAACATCAGTTCAACTTGTGGGTACCAGGACTTGTCCTCAGTTTTGATGCCGAGGAGCCTGAGGCCCAGGCTCCCTGGTCCAGACACACCTGCCACATCTGGTGGGCACATGCCCAAATGGCTCCTGATCCACAAATGTGCCCCTCTGACACCCCCAGGCCCAGTCCCACTTACCATCAGGAAACACTGGAGGCGCTGAGGTAAAGTGAGTCCCGGGTTTGTCTAGGAAAAAACACATCTCTGAGTTAGGTCCCTCTGAGCAGGTCCTTCCCTATTCTGTCCCTTTGCTGCCCACATCCCTTCCAGCCCAAGCTGGGGAAGCTGAGGCATTTAGCCCAGACCCCTGTGGCCTGGCTGATGCCTTGGGGGTGGATGGAAGCAGAGACCTGGATTTCTCTGCTCTGCAACTGCATGGTCATGGCCTGACCCTGTCAGGTGGGACCCAGAAGCTGAGGTGCAGGCATCCATTGGCTTCCCTCAAAGAGTCCAGCCCAGGGCCCCCCTGCCCCCAACTCCAACAAAAAATGTTTCTGCAGCTCAGGGTGAGGGTCAGCCCCACCAAGACCTCAAGGACAGGCCTGCAGAGGCCCAGGGCTGTTGAGGGGATACATCATATCCCTAGAAAATGCAGGCAGCCCACCAGAGCTACATGCCAGCCCCATGCCGCTCTGCAACCTGCCCGCCCTCCGGCCCTCCAGGCAGATGGGGCTCAGTTAGCAGAAGCCCACTTGGCCAGGTGGGCAGTCATGCCCAGCAGCCACATACAGTTGTTGAGGAATAGCAGCACCGCAAAACCGAGTGTGGACGTGGCCAGCAGGATCAGGCAGACATTGCAGGGGATCATGAAGTAGCGCACCAGCAAGGAGACACCAGGCTGCTGCCGTGGGTCCCGCTCCAGTGGCAGTGGAGGCATGGCCCTGGCTCCTCAGCCCTGCTCTTGGGGTGGGGTGGGGTCCTCACGGAGTGCCTTTAGGCCTCTTCAGAGCTACTCTCCCCATTCTGGGACACCTGGGGTAGCAGAGAGCATCTGTGCTCAAAGTTACGCCCCAGCCCCAGGCAGAGGAGCCAGGGCCTTTCCCCAGCTCTCCAGGCTCATTAGAGGTGTGCAGAATTATCCAGGAGTAGGATTCCCAAATTTGGGCGCAGAGGCAGCCACTCCTGCTGTCCACGCCCCACAGGCTGGCGCTCAGTCTTCCCAGAGCTCCTAGGAGCCGCGATGCAAGCTGGAGGGTCCGCGGGGCCTGGTGGGGAGATGCGGCGGCTGCTAGCAAAAAGGTTCCAGGCAGCTCTTCCCAGGCAGAGGCGATGGCAGCAAGCAGGAGCAGCGGCCTCGTCGGGAGGTAGAAGAAAGCGGAGGCCTCGTAGCTCCCGTCTCTGGGCGAACCGCGGCTCCCCTGCCCTTGTGGGCTGGGGCGGTGAGTGAGGGGAGAGGGCGCCGCAAAAGAGGGCGGGGAGCAGAGACAAAGGAAGCCGCCTCCAGGGACCCCGGCGTCCACGGGGAGTCGCAGCTTGAGGAGCAGAGAGGTCGGCAGACGAGAACAGAGTGGCCAGGAGAGCACGGCACAAAAGGGCACGCGGGCCGGCAACTGGGGCTGGAGAGCCGGACGGGCAACCGGGGTTGGGGGCGCGGTGGGCGGAGGGGCCCGGAGGGCGGTGGCTGGGGTCGTGGAGGCAGGTGGCCGGGTAGGGCGGAGATGCAGGGTGGGAGCCAGGCCGAAAGGGGGCGGAGCAGACGGCCCTCGCCCTTTTCACCCGCTGCGGCGCTGCAGGCAGGACCCGGCGCCAGGCGTGGGCCCCGTGCGCTGTGCGCGTGGCGTCGTGCGTGCGCGCACGAGCGTTTCTGCTCCCCTGGCCCCCCGGGAGAGGGGTGTAGAGGAGGGTGTCCTCGTGGGGTGCGAGCTGGATAGTGGGAACGAGGAGGCAGGCCCAAAAATCGCTTGGCCCACCCTCCGCTAAGACTAGATAGCAACACCCCAAGCTACCCGCGCACCCCAACTCCCTTTCTGACAGTGAGATAACCTGCAGATAAATCCCACGCAAATAGCCTCTGGGACTCCTGGCGGGTCCCGCGGGCCTGGAGCGCCCCCCAGAGGCCGCCCGGGGAAACGCCTAGGCTGTGATGTCACAGGCAGAGGAGGGGCGTGCCTCCCATCCCCAGTCCCACGTCTCCACACCCCAGCCGTGGTCTCCCCTTTCTCTGGCCCCTGCAAGCGTAGGGACTCCAGGGGGCAAAGGAAGGTCCCACGCGTCATACCCACTGTCCACAACAATCACTTCCACCTTCCTCAGTCAGAATCGCTTAGGTGACCATCCCCATGCTTCACTCCCACCCCGCACCCTCTCCATCCACCACCTGCAGACCTTTGGGAGAGAAGTCCAAGTACCCGCTACCCGCCCTCCTCAGCCCCTTCCAGCCTGGACCTGATCCTGACCCTGGCGCCTGCCCCACCTCCAGTTGTAAGAGGTGGTAGGGACTTCTCCCAGGCTTGAGGGTCTCCTTGGCCAGGCCACAGGACCCCTCCCCGGACCCTTCCTATGGGCACTGCCCACTGATAGCACCTTAGCACCAAGACTGTGGGGTCCCCTGCCCTGGGCCTGGAACAAACATTTCTCAGCCACAGGGCCTCCATCTGGACCACCCGCAAGGTCCTCCCATCCCTGGAAGGCTGTTCACTCCTGGTCAGGAGGCTTCTCAAAGAGCTCCCTCCCCCATTTCCTCCTCCCAAGTCCCTCCAACCCCATTCCATGGGGGTCAATCCTAGCTCATCAGTCCCCTCTCCTTGGACCCCTTTCTATCCCGAAGCCAGGCACACACGCACCACACCCCACACAGGAATCACCTGCCCCATCACCCAGTTAAAGGTCTTCACATTCTTGGGCACCCTGGAAACTGTTGTTCTAACAAAACCTTAAAGGAAAACCCAAAAGTAGCATCCCCCAGTCCAGAGCAACAATCAATCAAGCTACTCTGACATCCCACCCTGCACCAGCCTCACCCTTTCCTGGGAGGAGTTTCTACCTTTCCACCTCACTCTGCTGGACCTTGGCACTGTCCACACCATGATGACAGTGTCCAACTGGTGTTGACTACCTAAGCACCCAGGGGAGGGTCTGACTTTTTATCTACCAGGGCAGGACTTGGCCCAGAGCCAAGAAACATGTTAGAGGACTTGTCTAGGAGGACTCAGGGCAGGTCACACACCATTCCCATTCATTGCCTCTTGCCCAGATCAGAGGGGGCCCAAGGACCCTGCCATGGTCAAACCATGGGCCCACCATACACTGGCCTGGGCCTGCTGCTACATGCAGTGATGGGATGTCTTAGAGGGTCTGCAGGGGGAGGAAGCACAGAACCACTGTGTGGGATAGGGGAAGAATGGCCAGACAGGCCTCAAACACTGCCTGGGAACTCTTCCCCCCTCCCTAGGATCTGCCAGCAAAGGGGTCCCAACAGCTGGCCTGAATGCCCATGTGAAGGGCCATTGGCTAGCCCAGACCAACTCTGAGATGAGGCTTGGGGCCCACTGGAGAACTGGGCAGGCAGCCTGACCACGCCCAGCCCCAGTCTTGGTCTGAGCCCCCCACTGGGGCAGGGATGCCTTCAGAGAGACAAAGGGCCATTGAGGCCCAGGCCCAGGAGGGGGGTGGGGTTGGAGAGCAGGATACTGCAGCTATTTTAGGCGCTTCAAACAAAATCATCCAGGCCTGATCAGCCCAGGCAGGATCATCCCCAAGAAGGAACAGAATACCCAGGAAATTAGCCTGTGGACTCACCTTCACAGCAACTTATGACTAAACACAAATGTGCCTATACAATATGTATTACAGGTCTCCAGCATGAAAACTTGTAATGGATATTGGTGGGGGGAGGGATGAAGCCATACATGGTTCACATGCTGGGTCACACCCCTGCACACACTGGCCATCCTCCCTCCTGCACTCTTATACACACTGGAACCCCCCATCCCCTAAGCCCTGGTACACAATGGATGCCCTCTCCCTACACCCCAGCATACACTGGCTCTCCCCCCAACCTGCACACACTTCTGTGCTCCAAAGTCTACTCCAGCCCTGCCAGCAAAGTCTGAACTCCAACCTTCCAAGTGCCAGGTCCCTCTGCCTCCACCCCTAGGGAGATAGAGCAGCCACAAAGTGCTCACAGGTGTATGGTGGGGGCACCCAACCCCTACAGGGGAGCAGAAGGGACAGAATAGCACTGGTATCAGAATTCTCTTGCATCTGTCCATGGGCTGCACTGTCCCTTCCCCCTCACCTCCACTGTCCCTTCCCCCTCACCTCCACAGACAATGGGTGCTTCACAGCTGGACCTGCTGCTGGGCCTGAGGCTGCAGTGCCTGGCCATCATTGGCAGGCCCCAGATAAGGCCCAAGATGTCCTGCAGGCTTTGTGTGCCTGCCCAGCCATGTTTTCAGGTCAGATAACTTGCTCTTAAGGGTGTGGGATCCAATGAGAATATTGTGAAGGGGCTCAGCAGGACTGGTTCACAGGACAGTGAGGAGGGCCCTGGGGAAGTCTGCTGTGGCGCTCTGGCTCCCCACCCCCATCACTCACTGGGTCCCCTCCCTCCCTCTCCAACAAACTGTCGCTCTGTGGGCCAGGCTCAGCAGTCCTAGGTCTTACTCCAAGTAGCTGAGCTGGTGTCCCTCAGACTGAGGAAACAACAGGATGATATGTGTAGAGACCTACAAGATGGGGGTGGGCCGCACAGATCTGGAGGACAAATCCACAGACAGGCAGCTGTAAGTCCAGAGCCAAGAATGAGCTCAGGAAACCAACATGGTGTAGCTCAGGGGAAAGGGGGAGAAGGAGTGTGGGACAGTGTGGTACAGCCACCAGGGCTGCGCACTGAGTGGGAGGGGAGAGCAATACCTGGAGAAAAGTTTGGCATGGAATGGGATGATCTATGCCCTCTGACCTCCTCTTTGTGTCAGCCCCAAACCAGCTCTCAGCAGGCCCTGTCCACCTCCAGCAAGAAAAGGAACACCAGTGGGGCCAGGGTGGCACCTAGGTATGGCCAGTGCCTGTAAGTTAGGAGACCACAGCATCCCTGCTGAGAGCCCAGGGGTGCTGGGCTAAGCAAGTGGCACCAGGTCCAGGCATGAATGGTATAGATGGGTAACAGGAGATGAAAAGCCCAACACCAGGTCTGAGCACCACAGAGGTGGTGGCCAGCTGAGCATTGGGATGAACAGGAAAGGCAG